GGGATCAACTTCATTTTATAACAGAACATTCTTAAGCTAGGATGTTTATCAAACCCAAATATGCTTGGGCTCTTTAATGACCTTGACCTTGAAGGTTAAATTACTGAATTTTCTCAGATTTGTGCATTAAATGACCATAATTATATATTTCTTGGTGTGTGTGTGTGTGTATATATTTACAACAACAACAACAAGAATTGCGTCATTGTTTCTATTTATAGAATTGCGTCATTGTTTCTATTTTTAGAAATTGCGTCATTGTTGCTATTTTTAGAAATTGCGTCATTGTTGCTATTTTTAGAAATTGCGTCATTGTTGCTATTTTTAGAAATTTTTCTGTTTTTTAGAAATTGCGTCATTGTTTCTATTTTTAGAAATTGCGTCATTGTTTCTATTTTTAGAAATTGCGTCATTGTTGCTATTTATAGAAATTGCGTCATTGTTGCTATTTTTAGAAATTGCGTCATAATTGCTATTTTTAGAAATTGCGTCGTTGTTGCTATTTTTAGAAATTGCGTCGTTGTTTCTATTTTTAGAAATTGGGTCATTGTTGCTATTTTTAGAAATTGCGTCATTGTTGCTATTTTTAGAAATTGCGTCATTGTTTCTATTTTTAGAAATTGCGTCATGTTGCTATTTTTAGAAAATGCGTAATGTTGCTATTTTTAGAAATTGCGTAATGTTTCTATTCATATATATATACAAAATATATAAACAAAACTAATGTGACAAGACAGACCAACTAAATTTATAAAAAAGAAACGTTAAGATATGTTCAAACCTTTCTATGTTTGCGTTTAGAAAAAGTAGAAAGTCGAGCGTTGCCTCCGCCCGACGGTGGCTCTTGTTGTGTTTGACTTTAGAAGTAAAAAAAGTGGAGCGCAGCTCCCGCTTTGCTGTGTCTCTTGTCTATTTATATGTTGATCTGAATGAAATATTTATTAGTTGCATAATATGTAGCAACTATGGCATCGAAGGCTACTATGGCATCGAAGGCTTATGCTGAGCAAGGCAACTAACTTAAACTCACTAAATAGGCATACACTTTCCTTTTTATACAATCTATTATACTATGCCATTAGGTCGAATTAAAGTTGTACCAAACTCTACAAAATATATTTCTAAAGATAACAATTTTAAATAATATTCGTGTTAAGATGGTGTTTAATATACAGTGCTGCAAAATTTATTATATACAAAACTTGTAAGAATAATTCTTGACCTTGAATAGATCAGACAATCAAACATATTTAAATGATTTTCCCCCATTTTCATGCAGAAGTCACGAAGTATATAACCCATGTCTGTATGGTGGGGAGATAAACTGGTTATGTATTATACAGTACCTAGGTTAGAGGGGATACGGACAAAAGCCCCCCCCCCCCACCATCTAAAAATGACAAGGTGGACAAAAGCCCTCCATGAAATTTACACATAGGACAATACCCCCCCCCCCCCCCCCCCAATCAAAAATACATGTAGGACAAAAGCCCCCCCCCCCTCTCCATGAAACATTGTTATTGAGAATCTCGTCAGTTTAATTCCGGAATTTGATGTATTTAGACAAGTCAAATGCAATTGTTTTAAAAGATAATTTACATAAAGATTTGAATTTAAAGGTACTAAAGTTCTAATTTGATTTATTGTGTAATTCGTATATAATTCATTGATGATATGTATGTTTTTATGTTTATTATATATTGTACGTACAGTACAAATGTAAATGAATATTTTCAGAGAATCATTTATCAACGCTTATCAAAGAAATAAAAGTGGAAGGCGCATACTTGTCTTTAAAAATAATTTGAAGTAAGTATGATAACCCAAGTTCCCTAAAACTGTGAAAGAAGATAGTTATATATATGAGTCTGATCTATAAACCTTAGGGAGGCTTTTAATTGTTTGCTGGACTGGGGGGGGGCTTTTGTCCTAGTTATATTTTTGATGGGGTGGGGGCTTTTGTCCTATGTGTAAATTTCATGGGGGGGGGGGGCTTTTGTCCACCTTGTCATTTTTAGAAAGGGGTGGGGGGCTTTCGTCCTACACTGAGGGTAGAGCGTTGGACTGTGAATGGGCGCAGGTCACTTTCTTTGTGATTTATCATGAAATCCTTTCAACGGTTCATTCGTACTGTACCTCTGCTCTTGCATGTGCAAAAGTAATCAGTTCCTTGGGAAAGTGAAGGCAACTAATACTGGTAAAGTGATTGACAGCCTGTCCAGGAACGGTGCGGTGTCTGAACTGTACTAGCTGCTCTGGTAAATTCGCTTCCAGTCGTGATCCGGAGTGAAAACTACCAACACCAGAGCAGAATTCAGAAAATTTTGACGGGGCTTAATTTGGATTGAAAGACTTTAGAAACTCTCCCCTTTAAGGGGGATCTGGGGGTGACACCGCCATATATAAAGTATCCATTTATAAACGTGTCGATAAATCATTCTCATCCCCTGTACCACGGATTTATATTATATTGTAATATAAATCCGTGCATGTACATTTCTTAGGTCAATATTGTCAATAACGTATTTTCCCGCGCTTTAAGCACCGAGCTATGGTCGTGTATTTAAAAGGTCTAATTAAGACGCGCACGGGAACACTCACCAGATTACATGTTACATTTGTTCGTTTATAAAATGCTTGTACTTGAAGAAAAAAAATCCGTATTTCTATAGTTAGGAACAAAAATGTGTACAAGTAGTGAAATCTTTCTGATGCAAAACTTACTTAATTGTAAATAAAATAATTACAGTAGTTTTCTTCCTATTTTCTTCACGCATTTCACAACAGGTATGTAAAACAAAAGAAAAACTACATGGATGAGCTGTGGACTGTACCACCCGCTGAATGATAGTTGTTTTCATTCATACTCACCCTATACTTGCAATATGAATGCAGTTACTGACTTCATCAAAACTTTTAAGTGACCACGTACATCCTGTGGAGAATTATAATAAAATTTGTTTATAGGCACATTACAGCCATTAAAGGGAAGTTAAATCAGAATTATTTAGCGACGACGTTCTACTGAAAAAAGTCATTCAAATAGTCAGATTTTCTTCACGCATTTCACAACAGGTATGTAAAACAAAAGAAAAACTACATGGATGAGCTGTGGACTGTACCACGCTGAATGAAAGTTGTTTTCATTCATACTTGCCCTATATACTTGCAATATGAATGCAGTTAATATTTAATCTACAATAACCTAGAACGACGCACATTATTATAAAAATTGGCAATATTTCCATACTTAAAGCCGACGTAATAAAATTTTCTTGGTAAAATTAATGTCATGTAAAACAGTTTTGTGTCTGTCTGTTGGAAAATAAGATTAAATTGGTCTGTTCTGATTCAACTAACATTTATCCTCCAGTCTTTTACAAGTCGGAAGAGACTGACTGAACAACGAACATAGGAGAAATTCAATAACTGATCGAGGCAGTTTCCCGGTTACTGACTCCATCAAAACTTTTAAGTGACCAAGTACAGAGCGTCTTGAACATCCTGTGGAGAATTATAATAAAATGTGTTTATAGGCACATTACAGTCATTAAAGGGAAGTTAAATCAGAATTATTTAGCGACGACGTTCTACTGAAAAAATTCATTCAATTAAAAGGTCAGATTTTAATTCTGTTGATTGCCTTAAACCAGAGATGTGTTATCTTTGTCTCTTCTAAAACATTACTTTAAGATTTTTTAACAAGTGCATGCATACATTATGTTCATATAACAATAAAATTATTTTAAGCAACAAGTCAAAACAAATTTTCCAAGAAGTTGAAACAATTTGATTTTTTTGGATAAAGAATATAGCTATAGAATATCGTACGGTAACCACCCACGTGACACTGTTGTTGTTTTGATTAGGCAAATAAATTTATAATTTTCCCTTTCTAAAGAAACTTAAAATTCTCACTGTTTATGCTTATATTTATATATATATTGGTTTTATAAATTAAATTTACCAATTGTCAGATTACCGACCAAAATCCGACGTCGAATCGACGTCAAAATGAAACGTTTGTTAGACTTCGGGGTTTCAACGTTTGTTTGACGTTGTGTGAAGGTCGCCGACGTCGCGGCCAATTTTCAACGTTGATCCAACGTTGTGTCAACGTCGGGTGTTTGCTGGGATGGGGCCTAGCTCATTTTGGTCCCTGTGAAAGGGTGATTTCAAAATGTTAGATACATTTATTTCATTATTGATGTAAAATGAACCAATTAATGTATGAAAGAATTGATGAATGAATGAATACTTGACAGTACAGGTTTAACTAAGATGATAGACATTACTCCTTGTGTAAAAACAGATATTTTGACTGGTACTGATCGAATAATCAGTCTACCTCTTCTTAAATTAATGAATAAGTATTTACGTTGACATCTAAAACTATATAGAGGATAGGCTTATTCAAGTTTTTTTTCTATAAATACAGGATATATTTTCATCGAGTGGTATGAAAATAAATATTTCATGAGTGGCGGTTGCCGCGAGTGAAATATTATAATTTTCATACCACAAGATAAAAATAAATCCTGCAATGTAGGCCTATTTATAATAAAAACTTGAATTTTCTGTTTATTATAGATAATAGAGGCTGAGCCATATATACATTTTTCTTTTTTTACATAACGATTTGACAGATTTCCACTTGATTTCCTATTGGCTGAATTAAAAAAGTAGTCCGGCAAGGGCAAGACACCCGTGAAAATACGGAAATATGTTTCACTGCGAAAAAATAAATTTTGTACAGTGAAAAAAAACGGAAAATGAAATTATCCATTTTATTTCATCAATATTTCATTTATAAGTATATAATAAAATAAAACGCATCACCTTAAATACAACTATTTTGACATAGATGGTAATATATCAAAATACGATCCAAATTTGTATCTATGTTTGGCGAATACAGTACTAGTATGGTACGAACCGATCGTGAAGCGAATCTTCATAATATCTGTTTACTTAACCAATCAAATTCCTAAATTAAATTCACATCCAAGATGGAGACTACCGAGGGTTCGCAAGGACATTTTCAGGACTATCAACAAGTTTTATCAACTTTGGAGGCATTGAATGGACAGAGATCATCATCAAAGCTGTGCGATGTAATTTTGCAAGTATCAGATGAAAAAATATTTGCCCACTCTAATGTTCTAGCAGCAGCAAGCCCATATTTTGATTCGGTATTCAGTGGTCAGGATCTCCCGAGGGCTTTTTCACAAAAAACTCCACAAATCATAGAAATTCACATTGATGGACCCTCGGACCCAGGCTATACAGAAGCATTACATAAAGTGGTGGACTTTATGTATACAAGTCGTATACAGCTAGACAGCAATGTACTTGTGCAAGTGCTTGAAATAGCTAGGATTATGCAGATGTCTAGAATTATAGGTAAAAACATTAACAGTTACAGTGTGTCTGGTTACCATAACAGTATGTGTTTCTTTGCCTACACTATGTAATGGCTGGGGCATATATAGTCCTAATATGAAATTAGGCAAAGCCTATGAACGGGGAAGTCGTTAAAATATTCCTTTCATTCCTTCCGTTTTAAAGGTGTCATTCGGTATTACATGCACTGCTTCCGTTTTCACTCGGAACACTCGACGATTATTATTCATCCGAAAAGTTGAGATTTGGTACGTTATCGGAATACCCCGCCTATTATCATTGAGTTACATTGTAAATGGCGGTGCCCGACTAGAACTGACACTGAAAATTTCGTTGATAGGTATAGAATTCTATATATTTTTTAATTGTTTTTTATTTGATTTTCTTTTAAATATACACGTGTAGTCTATAGCCGGGCAAGCCAAAGCCCGGACCCGCTTCGCGGGCCCGGTCTTTGACTTCCCCGTATAAATATGACGTCGCTTTGAGATATTTTTGCTTCTGGGCAAAGCAACGTCATATCGAAATTGCTCAAAAACCCATAGCATGTTCCGCCAGAAAATCGGGCGGAACGAAAATCAATGAAGACAGCGTGTATTTACATAATTTTTGACCTATTTATGAACAAAACTAAAAAATAAATACCTTTTGTCAAAATAATTTAACTGTCACAACCGAAAAATCATGATTAAATCCTCTCGTGTATTTCAATTCCTTTTACAGTCGATAAACAAATGGCGGCCGTAAAGTGCGCGAAATCTGATTGGCTAATTCAAATGCAAGCGTTTTACTGAGTCAGAACAATCAACAGAATATTTTTTTAACGAAATAATTGCCCATGCACCGTCAGTGTGTTCGAATATATTTTTCCGTTCAAAAATTTTGAATCAATCTGTAAAGCACCTTGCTTAACCAGTATGGCTGATAGACAAAAATAGATTGATGTTTATATTTGATTTTAAATTGATAAGTACATCGTTTGAAAGTTTTTGTGTATGATTGAGCATGAAATTGAAAGAAAATATGATAAGCTCTTGAATAACGCTTGAAAGGCAAGACAATAGACATTTTTTGATTTTTTTATGATGCTATGCGTTTTTGAGCAATAACTATTAGACGTCAGACTTGACCGACAAAAACTATAACAAGCCTGTAACGTCATATATATTGGACTAGGGCGTATAGTGTTACCCTGTTCCGCCATTCCATCATCATCTGTTGCACACTATCATCTCATATATATTTGACATATATATGCCTTATTCTCATGGATTCGTGCCTTCTCATCGATTAGTGACCTAAATAAATGGCTGGTATAAATACTTCTGCAAGGACATGCACAATCCCAAAACTACACAAGTTTTATTAGACACTCGATTTGACAAATCTATCCAATCAAAATGCGTAATTGAACAGGTGTAAATTAGAGGTGTAACGATTCATCGATGCATCGCGATCTGTCTTGTCCCCGATGTATGCATCGTAATGAAATTACAAATTCCAATATATTGCGATGCAATACATATTTCACCTCCCGATGTATCGATACAGCGGGAAGGTATCGCAATACGCTAACAATATCTTCCAGGAATATAAGGACAAACATTTTTTTTTTTAAGACTGAAGAAAGAAAAATAGCTTGAATGAAAACAATAAACAAGCGCGACTATTATCATACCATCGTTGTCATCTCGTTTCCCCATGTCCTCAATCATTTAACGGTTACTAACCAAGTTTTATCAATTCCATGTAAATGGGCTGGTGTTCTTTGAACTTGTTTATAATAAAAACATAATTAGAGATCTGTGCGATTTCAAGAAAAAACAACCTACAAACATGAATTTTATTTTGTAGCACTTAAATGTTGGATTAAAATAGTGATGATGACAACATCCCCATGTGATATTCGTCACGTATTTATACTTTCATTTCCGTTGACATCATTTTCCCGTAAAAAAACAACAAAGCAGACAAACAGAAAACATGAAGACTGCAAAATATGTAGACGGGGAAATTACTGTCAATCCTCCCTGGTCATATAAGTCACGAGTTTTGGGAAAATTGTAGTTTTTGGGGAACCATGAGACAGTGTTGTATAATGTGGAAGACCGGACGTGGAGTGTTTGCAAAATCAAATTTTCAAAATAAAATACTCTGGGGTTGAGCACAAATCTTTTGAGAAAACTGAGACTGAAACTTATAAACTGTCATTTTCACAGTTGTTGACCTAATTGTAGATCACTTGTTACTATTTTTTTCACAAGAAAAATCTTAAGTGGTGTATTGTAAGACTGAAATTGTTAAACTGCCATACTTACAGTAGTGGACTTTAGTGTTAGAATAGCTAGTAAATATCAATTTGCTGGTATGGTTTACTTAAAAATACCTTTAATCCTCAAGTAATCAGAAAAGTAAATTGTTAAAAGATCAAATTCGGAAACCAAATTATAACAACAAGTTAAAAGAGTTTATTTTTTTGTTATTGTAATAGTTTTATATTATATTCGTAATTATGCTGTAAACAAATGGCCAATTTTCTATATACTAAGTCTAAAAGTCAGTATCGTGATACGTATTGCATCGCAACATAAGAATCGCAATATGCATCGCATTTCTTCAAATTATGCAATACATATCGTGAATCGCATCGTTTTGAAAAACAAATATCGTGATATGTATGGTGACAGAAAAAAAATGGCAATGCACAGCCCTAGTGTAAATGTGCTTACCCTACAATCAGCTGATGACCTAATTACTTTAAAATATTCAATATTAATGTTTTAATTTATCAAACACGCTTACAATTTAGCCAAAAAAATATTCATTATGCTGTAAGAATTTACATTAGACTTTGAAACATATATTGATCAGATCGGACTGAAAATAACCATGCGAACATTTAGTGGTGTGAGCACCTATATTTTGATGACGTCACAGGGTGAATCGGATTTCACGAATCGATGAGTAGGAGTCCAGCTGAGCAAGACAGTCATGTATGACATGTTCAAATGCTCTAATCTTTTAGCGGTTGTTTTTAGAAGTAATTTAAAGTTTTTGAACTTTTAGATAATGAATTTATTTAACAAATGCACTATTTGAACTGAATGTATGTCTAAAATTTGTTGTGCAAGTGCAATTTTTCCAAATAAGAGTCACGAATCGATGAGAGAAAAGCATATATTTAGGTCAAGTTAGAATTGAGTCTTGGTACGATGAATTTGACAGAGTTATGCCCCTTATAAAAATTTTCAGTTTCTGTTCATTATCCAACAGTTCAACTGAAATATAGCATATGGATATGTCATAGGAATACACAGGTCAAGTTCTAATAAATTTGGTCTTGGTTTGATGATTTTTGATAGAGTAATCTCTCTTGAACTTTGGAAAAAAAGAAATTTTCAGTTTCCAGGTTACGTTTGAATTTGGTCATCGTTCGATGATTTTGACAGAGTTATCCCTTTTGAACATTGGAAAAAAATATTCAGGTTCCGTACTCTTACTTTTGAGTTTTGTAGAAATGTATGTATACGGTTGAAATCGCATACATGTGCAGGTTTTTAACCAGAAAATACAGGTTGATTTGGTCCAATGATTTTTGACAGAGTTATCATTCTTGAACTTAAAAAAGAAAAAGAAGAAATTTTTAGTTTCTGCTCTAACTTATAACTATTATGGGAATTATGTCAGATGTTTACATTGCATATGCTAGTATTTTACCAGAAAATACGAAAATACAAGTGAAGTTCTAATTTGGTCATGGTCAGATCTATGTTTTTTGACAGTTATTATTTTTATACTTAATTGTATCCCCCTTGAACTTGGCAAAGATTTAAAAATTCACAATTTCTAATCATTATCTCGGCTACAAATATGCAAAAGGTTAACACTGAATAGTTTCGGGCCTTGAACTTTGTTTAAAAATGGTTTGTGTTAACATTGAATTTTTTAAGGGCCTTGAACTTAAAATGAAAGAAATGGTTTGTGCTATCAAATTCAGGAATTTTTTTTGGGCTTATTTCATAGCCGAAATTCGGTGACGGGGTCATATTCACAACTGAAAATAGTATATAATTTCCCAAACCAACAGGAAAAAATTCCCGATTGAAAGTTACAAAATAAAAATATTGAAAAACAACATGTAAAATCTTTGAAAATAAGGGCTTAGAACTTCACTGTTACTATTCTTAAATGTATGAAGATGTTGTCCTAAACAGTGATTCTCTGCATTCATTTAATCACTGCAAAATTTAAGTCATACATTTTTTCCTAATTTTTAATAAAACATTGCTGAAATTCCCAATTCCATGGGTATGGGTTATGTTCCCAAAATCCTGCGAAAAAAATCTGAAATTTGGAACTTGATATCATTATACATCACATTTGAATTTTTGGCTGCATGCGGGCACACATAAATGGCGTTATGTCGTATTTCTAGTTTTGTGAAAAGACAAAGACACAACAGTTAATTGACCCAAAAATCTTTTCACTTTAAAGCATGTATGCTTTGATCACATTTTTTATGCCCCTTGGCATATAGTAGTTGAACCGTCCATCCAACTGTCCGTACGAGGTCAACCTAAAACAGCAAGTTGGATTTTTCATAATTACTACCTTTACCAATGGCTTCATACTTCAGACACTTACTTATCAACACACTGTACATGATCTGAGCAAGTTACATAACTATGGCTTCCATTTTTACCAAGTTATTGCCCTTTTCAGCACTTAGATTAGAAAATGAATAATTGGTTAACCTAAAATGGCAAGTTGGATTTATCTTAAGTTCTATCTATACTAATAGCTAATAGTTATTTCCCTTTTCATCACTATGAAAATAGGGCCTTGTATGGTTAATCTATTCCTCCACAATGGATTTATCTTAAAATTCTCGTAATTACTTTATTGATTTAATGATATCTTTCATATTTGGTAAGTGGATACCTTAAATGGTCCTCTAATTATGCCCCCATTTCGAAGAAAAGGGGGTATATTGCTTTGCACTTGTCGGTCCGTCGGTCCGTCGGTCTGTCGGTCCGTCGGTCCGTCGGTCCGTCGGTCCGTAGACCAAATGGTTTCCGAGTGATAACTAAAGAACCCTTAGGCCTAGGAACTTCAAACTTGGTATGGTGATTGGTCATGTCCAGTAGATGACCCCTATTGATTTTGGGGTCAAGGGGTCAAAGGTCAAGGTCACATTGACCTTGTAGGCAAAAACGGTTTCCGATCAATAACTAAAGAACCTTAAGGCTTAGGAACTTCAAACTTGGTATGGTGATTGTTCATGATCAGTAGATGACCCCTATTGATTTTGGGGTCAAGGGGTCAAAGGTCAAGGTCACATTGACCTTGTAAGGAAAAACAGTTTCCGATCAATAACTAAAGAACCTTAAGGCCTAGGAACTTCAAACTTGGTATGGTGATTGGTTATGATCAGTAGATGACCCCTATTGATTTTGGGGTCAAGGGGTCAAAGGTCAAGGTCACATTGACCTTGTAAGGAAAAATGGTTTCCGATCAATAACTAAAGAACTTTAAGGCCTAGGAACTTCAAACTTGGTATGGTGATTGGTCATGATCAGTAGATGACCCCTATTGATTTTGGGGTCAAAGGTCAAGGTCACATTGACCTTGTAAGCAAAAACGGTTTCCGATCAATAACTAAAGAACTTTTAGGCCTAGGAACTTCAAACTTGGTATGGTGATTGGTTATGACCAGCAGATGACCCCTATTGATTTTGGGGTTAAGGGGTCAAAGGTCAAGGTCACATTGACCTCTTGGGTAAAAACGGTTTCCGATCAATAACAAAAGAACCCTTAGGCCTAGGGACTTCAAACTTAATATGATGATTGGTCATGATCAGTAGCATGACCCCTATTGATTTTGGGTTCAAGGGGTCAAAGGTCAAGATCACATTGACCTCATAGGTAAAAACGGTTTCCGATCAATAACTAAAGAACCCTTAGGCCTAGGAACTTCAAAACTTGGTATGGTGATTGGTCATGACCAGCAGATGACCCCTATTGATATTGGGGTTAAGGGGTCAAAGGGCAAGGTCACATTGACCTTGTAGGTAAAAAATGCTTTCCAATCAATAACTTAAGAACCCTTAGGTCTAGGAACTTCAAACTTGGTATGGTGATTGGTCATGACCAGCAGATGACCTTTTGATTTTGGGGTCAAGGGTCAAAGGTCAAGGTCACATTGACCTTGTAGGTAAAAACAGTTTCCGATCAATTAACTAAAAACTTAGGCCTAGGAACTTCAAACTTTGTATGATGATTAGTCGTGACCAGCAGATGACCCCTATTGAGTTTTGGGTCAAGGGGTCAAAGGTCAAGGTCACATTGACCTTGTAAAGTAAAAACGGTTTCTGATCAATAACTTAAGAACGCTTAGGCCTAGGAACTTCAAACTTGGCATGGTGATTTGTCATGACCAGCAGATTACCCCTAATGATTTTGGATCAAGGGGTCAAAGGTCAAGGTCACATTGACATTGTAAGTAAAACGGTTTCTGATCAAATAACTAAAGAACGCTTCGGCCTAGGAACTTCAAACTTGGCATGGTGATTGGTCATGAGCAGCTGATGCCCCTCATTGATTTTGGGGTCAAAGGTCAAGGTCACATTGACCTTGTATGTTAAAACGGTTTTCCGATCAATAACTAAAGAACCCTTAGGCCTAGGAACTTCAAACTTGGTATGGTGATTGGTCATGACCAGCAGATGACCTATTGATTTTGGGGTCAAGTGGGCAAACGTCAAGGTCACATTGACCTTGAAGGTAAAAACGGTTTCTGATCAATTAACTAAAAACGCTTAGGCCTAGGAACTTCAAACTTTGTATGATGATTGGTCGTGACCAGTAGATGACCCCTATTGAGTTTTGGGTCAAGGGGTCAAAGGTTAAGGTCATGACCAGTAGATACTTGATAATCCTTTTTAATTGTTTGATCACTGGGTCAGAAGTCATGCATAATAACCTTATCACATGACTAATTGGCTGCTGATAGGGGGCATACATGTTTTACAAACATATCTTGTTTTTATGGAGTAAGGAGTAATCAGCAATCATTTAGATCCATTAAAAGATCCATTAAATCTCCTTGTGGCTGAGGGGTTGCCAATAAAGGTTGACTTGAAGTTGAGGCGTCATAATTTCTGCCACCATTTATCCCTGCGTGATCGTAAGATGCGACTAAATGGGTTTGTTGAACCCATACAAATCGAATAACCGGAGTCTGTACATCTCTTAGCTGCATCAGGTGAGATGGTTTTGACCCCAGGATCTAGTGTAGATTTAAGTTTGTAGCATCTGACTCTCTGAGGTTAGCCAAAATCATCTCTCCTGGTTCATAGCCATTTGACCTCAATTTTGTTGGTGCACCATAAAATCAAAACAAACAAAAGATTAATTAAAAGATTAATTGTTTACCCTCTGCTGGGTGAAGGTGTATCACCATGAGTTTCCTGGAAATTTGTCTAGAAATTATGGCATACATATGTGTTTCAAGAATCTTAACAGATTAAAAAACTTATAACAATCAAATTGATTACATCTAATGCATTTAAATGATTAAATCACTAATGATTTGAAGGAAATTAAGATTTATATATATCTGATGAAAGATTATATTTAGATTAATGCAGAATAAAAATTCTAACATTAACTTACAAAAATAAACTTTAATTTCAATGGCTACAGGATTTCTTGTACATGATACTTGATAGGCTATTTAAAAAAAGAAAACATGCATTAATAAAAAAATCTCATTAATTTTCAACCAAGGTAAGTCTTGTGGACTGGTAATTTCATGTTGCATTGTAGAAATATTAATAGGCCATTAATGGTTACATGGTTTTATTTTTCAGACTTCTGTGATTTATACCAGCAAGGATGTATATCATATGAAATTGGTGAGCCCATAACATCTTCTCCACTTCTATCTAAAGTTGCTTGCGACATTTCTACTCAAACTAGTGACGGCACTGTCAAAAATGGAAAAGAAATAGTTATTTACAATGAGAACGCCACAGATGAGATATGGGTATTTAAAAAGGACTTGAATAGCAAAGCTGTGGTTTTGAATAACAGAGAAAGTTTTAAACGTAAAAGAGGCAGGCCAAGAAAGAAACAAAGAGATGATAATTTGTGTAATGATGAGGTCAACACTGATACTATTGGTGGTCAAGGGCAAGCACTTATTACATGTGCATTGAAAGAGGAGCAGAAAGAAAGCAGTTATTCTGAGAAAGAAAATGACAATATGAGCAGTAATTGTACAGCTTTTGAAGGGAAGCCTAATGAAACACTGCTTAAGGCCTCACTAGAACCATCTGTGAGAGTAAGTAAACATGGTAGAATTATAAAACCAAAGAAATTTTCTGACGATATGATTAATTTTATTAAAGATGAGCCTATAAGTGATACAGAAAATGAGGAAAATAAAGTACACGATAGTGTCTTAACAAGAAATACTCAGCAAAATAGTGATACAGGAAATATAACTGATACAGATATTGTTGACAATCTGGTGAAAAAATTTGCATGTGAACTTTGTGAATACGTGACACAAGACATGAAAGAGTTAAATGAGCATCATAGAGATCACTTACATGCTGAGAAGAAGTGTAGTTACTGTGGTTGGATCTGTGAGAATTCAGATGTGACAAATGAAGAATTCATGGAGCATGTGAATAATCACAAAGGTTCAACATTGTATTTCTGTACTTTTTGTCCTCAAAGGTTTAACACTAAAGCTAAGTTATATCAACATTTACCAAAGCATTCAAAAACGAAACCTTATGGTTGTGATATTTGTGGAGCAGGGTTTAAGTGGAAACATGCCTTAAAAGCCCACATGACAGTTCATAAAGATTCAAAGGATTACCTTTGTGATATTTGTGGATTTGCAACTGCTCATAAATCTCAGTTGAAAGCCCACCATCTAATTCATACAGGTAATACATTTAAATGTACTCAACCAGATTGTGAGTATCAGACAACAAAGCGTAGTAATTTAAAATTTCATATGATGACTCATTCTCGCGAAAAGCCTCATCAGTGTGAATTGTGTGGACAATCATTTTCTCTAGTGAAGAATATGAAACGTCACATGTTACTGCATGCAAATGATCGTCCATTCCGATGTGATTGTTGTAGTTTTAGTACAACAAGATTTGATAAACTAAAAGAACATTATTTTAAGCAACATAAAATTGGTGAAAAACCAAAAAGGAAAGTTAGATTGACAGAATACCTGAAAATGCAAGAAATGGTAGATAATTTAGAAACTGGGCAGTTGACTAGTGAGCAAATTGAAGCTGAAGTTTTAAATATACCTGTTGGAGAAGAAATGGAGACTATAGAGTTACAAGTATCTGAAGATACAAATGGATTAGCAACTACACAAATTGTTAATGTTACTAGCTCAACTGGTGAAGCTATTCCAATAGCTATCACTCAAAATGGTGGAGAAATTTCATATGAAATTCAGCAGATACCTGTGCAGATTATTACCCAAGAAATAGTCACAGAGTGAAAATGTTGTCATTAATAGTGGGTTCACATTGTAGCTACATTTTTATGCAATTTGACTAAAAGCATAACATGCACAAAAGAAAGTGCTGCATACTAAAAACAAGAATTTAAATTGCAACCATTTAATTTCACAGTAAAATTTGTTATTCCATGTGTACATGTAATTGTATTTATTTATACTATAGGGCAGGGCAATTTTTGACACCTGATATATAGAATATTACTTTTGTAAAAAAAATCAAGTAAGTAAGAGACAATGCTTTAATCTAGTAGTTTAGACACAGAGTTCTAGACTTTAAAGTTAAAATCACCATGTAGCAAAGTATACAGACAGTTTAACTAAAAATAGGAGAATGAACTATAGAAAGAAAGGAAGGGTCATACTGTATTAGAAAGGAAGGGACATACTGTATATAATAAAATTAATAATATGAAATAAATAATAGTTGATATTACTATGATTTAACTGTATTTTGTGTATCAAAATAATAATGACAATTGAATGACATAATTTTTGATCTAGATAAATTTTAATCTCTTCCTTTTCTGGCAGAATTTTCTAGTAATTACACCAGTGATCTAAGTTGTAAAAAGCTAACATGTCTACCATTTTTGCCGTTATGAATGAAGGTGGAAATTCTTATGCTACTACAAGAAAAAGTGCTAAACGAAAGTATTAGTTTTTGTAATTTATTCTTCCCAAAAAAATGATAAATATGTGAATCCACAAAATATGTATAACATGTTATGATGTATACAATATGATGTTATGAGATAAAATTATCCTTAAAAGATTTTGTTTTGTTGTTGGGAATTATAATAATCAAGTAGACTTCACAAAATAGTGTTATAACAGAAACATGTGTATACTCTACAAGATGTCAATTTATTCTCCTAAAATCCCTAACATTGAGACTGGCTAGACATGTTATTGAGCATGCACAATATGCATATATAATCATAAACTAGCTATCAGCTGATATTACAACAGATTCCATGGGGTTGTCTGATATGTTCTGTATTGTATCATTTTTATACACCCGTTTGAAAATAGGGCAGGGGGGGGGGGGGGGGGGGGACGGCGGAACCAATATTTGTTTGGAGCATATCTCTTACACCCATGGAGGAATTTTAATGAAACTTCATAGAAATGTTCACTACTATGAGAAGCCGTGTTGCGCGCATGAACCAGGCCTCTAGGTCAAAGGTCAATATAACTTGGCACAAATGTTCACTATTGTGAGGCAGAGTGTCATGTGCAAAATTTTTGTCCCTGCAGCCAAGGTCATGGTCACACATATGGGTCAAAGTTAACATAAAAATATGAATGTGTATTGGGACCATTTAGTCATCATTTATTGAGAGATTGAAACACAAATGGTCATTATCATGACTACTGGTGTGAAACATGTAATTTAGATTAAAATATGCAAGGTCAAGGTCACTAACGATGATTGCCAAGGTCACTAAAGATGATAAAATATAGATTTTGTCCAGAAAATATCTCCTACAAATATGAAGGGGTTCTAATGAAACTTCATAGAAATGTTCACCACTATGAGAAGCCGTGTCACACACTTCAACCAGACCTCTAGGTCAAAGGTCAAGGTCATAGAAAAATGCTTGTCCGGAGCATAACTTCTACATGCATAGAGGGATTTCAATATAACTTGGCACAAATGTTCACTATTGTGAGGCAAAGTGTTGCACGCAAAATTTATGTCCCTGTGCCAAGGTCAAGTTCACACAATCATCAAAGTTCAGAAAAAATATGAAAATTTGATTGGGACCATTTAGTCATCATTTATTGAGAGATTGAAACACAAATGGTCATTATCTTGACTACTGGTATGAAACATGTAATTTAGGTTAATATGTGCAAGGTCATGGTCACTAAAGATGACTGTCAAGGTCGCTAAAGATATGAAAATATAGAGATTTTGTCCAGAGCATAATCTCCTACACATATGGAGAGATAGTAATGAAACTTCATATAATTCCTACATCTCTCTCAAAAGCTTCTGTGACGGGCGTACTGCAACAATGTTGCCCTTGTTTTTTTCAAAACATTCTCTGTGTAATGTTAAATGTATGTATGAATTAAATCTCTGAATCCATTTATGAAATGCATCATGGTACTCCAATATAGTTAGTGACCTCTGAGGCACTGACTGATGGCTATCGACAACCAGATAAGAACGTTTAGGAAATACATATAGTTGCCTGAGGCTATATCTCGAGAATATGATAGATTTGGCCAATATTCAAAAATTGCTTGACAAAGAGCAGATCTATGTATGTGATTTAGCAGAATCAGGGCATGAAAGACAAACATGCCTAAATTATAAACCCTTACACATTTTGTTCCAAATTTTTTTGACAGGTTCCAAATAGTGAACCCATGTTTTGTCACCAGTAACAATGTTTGCAAATAGTCTTTGAGGTTTAGAAACATTTTTAGTAATTGCTTAGCGGTTTGTGCTTGTATCATTTTAGCTTGAATTTTTTATATGAAAAATATCGAGCTATTGCTGCAGTAATGTTGTCCTTTGCTATCTGAAAACTTTAATATAGGCCATTATTTTTAGCTCACCTTAGAAATGGCCCTTTATCCCAATTAGTCGCATATCTGTAGGTCTGTCGTCAATTTTTTTTAAAACAATTTTTCTTCTGAAACCACTAGGTCAAATTTGATGAAATTGATAGGCATGAAGCTCTACATAAATTGTTCAAATGATTCTGCTCCATTGTACATCTTGGTAAGGGCTTAAAATAAATTTAAAAAATTAAATCATCTAATGATACTCTACATATGTTAAATTGTTCGAATTATAGCCCTGGGGTTAAAATTGTCCCTACCCCGGGGGGCATGGCTTTTCCTTATACAGATAATACTACTTTAAAACTGCCAGTGTTAATTTAAAACAGGCTGTCCGGCATCCCTAAAAAATCCTAATTAATTAATATTTTATAAACATGCTTATAACTTTAAAAATGTTTTCATTTCAACCCTTAACCTGCTATATTTCTATAATGGATCTGTCAAAGCATTGAATTTGAAACAGTCCATTCAATGTTCAAGGGATATCAATATCAAAATACAAAAATTGAGCTGCCAACAGTAGATAGCCTGATTATACTGCACAGACGTGCAGGCTGGCCTGGCTTAATACTGGTAGCACTTTTGGTTCTAATTATGTTTAAGTGTATTTTTTCAGCTCTTCTAATCAGAGTAGACAGTTAAAGGCAATTGACTTGTGAATTCATTTATTCAATAATGAGCATGGAACACTGGTAGACACCTTTGCTTTAACCAAACAGGGTCTTTCATGAAGAATGGTCTGGAGTGGGACCAAGTTTACGAGAAAAGATGTCTCAGCTGAGTCATGTGATTAGGTTATATATATCTACCGACCATGATCTGGTATAGTACATCGCACTTCAGAAATAAAATCATAATGTTTTGTTAAATTGATCAAAAAATTTTGAAAGCTAATCCTGGCTACATTACATTATCAGTTTTTACTTTAAGGGGTCAATGTATCTACTGCTCAAATTAATTTTGAAAATAGGTCTGAATTTCATCAGCTTTTTTCAAATTTATGCATTGTTCAATGACAAATTAGAAATTGATTTTACAGAAAAGAAATGTTATTTAATTGCTTCATGTAAAGATTTTATAATATTTCTCGATGTTTTTTTTTTTTTTCAAATATTTGATGTTGAATTTGGTGCATTTTCAAAATGGCACTGTTTGTCAGCAAACATCTGAACAAGCATTCTATGTTTTTCAACAGATCATGTCTTTAAAAACATTATTTTCTGAAATATTTATCTTTTTTAAACAAGTTTAAAGATTTTCAAAGAACATCATGTCATTAGAAATTTCATTTTTCTCTTGTTGAACACGTAATTTGCACATAGCAAACTATACAGAGTTACACTGAGACATGTTTAATTGTAGCAAGAATGGTGTACATAGCGCATTTTCCATAATAAAAACTTACAAGAGCAAGAGCTTAGATATTTGGCATGAAACATAATATTGTTGACCTCTTCTAAGTTTGATAAAATTATAGTTCTGAGGCTAAATTGACTTCACCCATAAGGGGTGGGAAGTGGTCATGAATTTTTTCCATCAAATTGCAATCATTGAATTTCCATAGCAACCATTGACTTCCCATAGCAACAAGTGACTTCAAAAGCAATCATTGATTTTTCATAGCAACCAGTGGTTCCCATAGCAACTATTTACTTTCCATAGCAACCAGTAATTTCCGTGACAACCAGTGACTTAATAGCAATCAGTAACTCCCCCATTGACTTTCCTGATAATAATGACCTCCAAAGCAATGATTTATTTTCCATAGCAACCAGTGATTCCATAGTAACCAGTGCTTCCATAGTAACCAATGACTTTCATAGCATTTGGTGACGTTCCATTGAAAACAGTAACTTATCATAGCAACCATTGACTTTCCTTAGCATCATTGACTTCCATTGCAACTATTGACTTTCCATAGCAACCAGTGACTTTCAATAGCAACTATTGTTTTCATTGCAACCAGTGACTTCTATAGCAATAATTGACTTTCTGTATTAACCATGGACAATCCATAGCAACCAGTGACTTCTGTAGCAACCAGTAACTTCTGTAGCAATCATTGACTTTATACATTGTAATCATTGACTTTCCATAGCAACCAGTAACTTTCTATCACAACCAGTGACTTCCATAGCAACCATTGTCTTTCCATAGTGACTATTGACTTTCCATAGCAACCAGTGACTTTCAATAGCAATCATTGACTTTATATTGTATATCATTGACTTTCCATAGCAACCAGTTACTTTGTATGGCAACCAGTGACTTCCAAAGCAAAGATCAATTTTCCATAGGAAACATTGTAAACATCAATCAGGTTAGAGATAAAAGGAACATTGTGGCTGTCTTATTTCTTAACAGATTGTCTTCATACATGAAGACAGCCACCCTTTAAGTAGAACAGACAGAACTTGACCTTGACTCATAAATGATCCTGATCATTTGGGTAAAATGTTAAAATTTTGCTTGATTTTTGCTATAATTGGCTATTTCTTTGTTATTTATTGTTTGGATTGTGTTTTACTTGGACACAGCAATCCTTGGGATAAGACCTTCAAGTACACCAAATTGACTTTGACCTTCAAGTTTGGCTGATTTTTGCTATACGGTAGTTGGCTATAACTTTGTTATTTGATTTTACTATTTTTTTAGGTTTTTGACACATTTAAGATGATAACAAGGTTTATTATCAATCTGGTCATATTTTTTCTTCCCAGGTCCAATACTTGTGCCTTTGTTGGGAAAATTCTGTGATAGAATTGGTCAGTATATATGTACATACAAATATCCTGTTAACCCTGTTTATAAGATAACTTGAAAAGGAATATGCCCGGGTTTATTTTATTTGGTAAGGACATTGCCCATAGCCAGTAGATTACCTATATAGATGTTGAGGTCAAGGTAGCCATGCCACTTCATGTAAAATCCTTGTCTGATGAATAACTGAGAAGGAATAAGCCATGATTTATATAACCTAAAAAGATCATTGCACCTGATCGGTAGATGGCACCTAATATTGTTGAGGTCATTGGGTCAAAAGACAGGGTTACAATAACACTAAATGTAAAAATCATTGTCCAATCAATAACTTGTATATATGGCATCATTGTCTAATCAGGGTTGTCATTAAGAAAACACCCTTTGTTATGCATGATAAAGACAGAAATGACCGCCTCAAGTTCAAAACAAACCTTCTGCAAAAAATGTTAATGACAACCCTGCTGTCTTATGGCACATTTCTATTTAACAAGGAAAATTCATATAAATAGTGTAATCTGATTGCTTAATTATCTCCTGCACATGACTTAATTATCTCGTGGCCACAACATAGTATCTGTGCGCACCACTTTATTATCTGTCGTTCCCACTACTTCGTAACTCATGGCCATGATATTGTATCTCCTGCGCACCACTTAATTATCCCGTGGCCACAACATAGTATCTTGTGCGCACGAGGTAAATAAAAACACATACATGTCACCTCTGTGCCACCGTAGGCACCAGTATACATGTGATCATCCTTAATATTACAAGATCTGCCTAAATATAGAGCAAGTGTATGTGTCCTAGCTGACAACCCATGATTTACTGAACTACCTAATATCCTTAACTAATATTGTTTAAGAACTATTTTTCAGTCTGTTTCTATTACTAGAAATACTGATGTCATTGTCATATAAAACAAAGAGCTATGTTATGTAAACCAAATGTAAACTGTCTACAATATCCTAAATAAGTGATAAAGAAGGGAAAAATTTAACGGTGTTCAACCTAGACAATGATAGGGAATGAAAAATTAAATAAAAAAAACAACATCTATTTTGGTTATGATTACATAATATATCTAAACATACTGTCATTTTTTATGCAAACTATGCTGCCGATATGTCTCTTTTGATTTATTTGAATATTTACCAATGGAGACTAAGAAAAGACGATTCATTTGTGCCGGAAATGTGAATAGAGCAATTACGCATGCGCATTTGAAATTGACTTCAGAAGCTGAATAACCAAAACAAGAAATTACGTTTCTTTTTGCTTTTTGCTATGTAATTATGTCTTTACATTACACTTATAGTTTTTCCAAACAATGAAAAAGACAGCTTTTACGGATCTACAGTTGTCATTCCATGGAGAACGCGATATTGATGAAAATTTGAGTTTCAGTGGTGAAACTGAAGTGAATATTCGTGACAGAATGCCAAACATGACTGGTAATAATGAGTCACTGTCAATTTCCTCTGTCAGCCACAGTGACGAAAACTCGTTACAGCAAAATGTTAACAATAAGAAGAAAGAAAAAATAGGGCTATTTAGAAAACTGAGACGCAGACTTAAATCAAATTTTAATAGGAAATCTGTTGATGATAAATGTGTTGAGGCAGATCCCAATCTGATGTGTGCAAAGTCAAAGTCACCAAGTAAAAAGCAGAAACAGGCAGCAAAATGTCGAATTACTTTGTGTTCAAAGCCATCTAATTCAAATTCATCTCAAAGTACAGAAAGTTTAGATCTGAACCTTCATTTACATCGAAAACTTGATGATAGTATTTGGTCTAACAAAGACAAGAGAGATGGTGCTACTTCAAAAGAAAAGCCTAGTTGCAAATCGAAAGATATATCAGCTTTTCAGTCTTCACAAACTTGTTCATGTGTATTAAATCGTGCTCAGCAAAGTAAAGATTTTGGCAAAATTAGTAATATGTCACCAAAAGTGACAACAAATTGCTTTGAAATAACTGCCATGTGCCATTCTAATGGAATTAACAGCATTTCAACTAATGCACATAATAATCAAGAATATAAAAGATCAATACCAGAAGGTGCCATTATGAATGAAGCTCCAAAAACATGGAGCTTAACCCATGAATTGTTTAGACTTTCCAAGTTTGGCTGGTACTGGGGGCCAATTACTCGAAGAGAAGCGGAACGAAAGCTAAATGGTCAACCTGATGGTGCTTTTTTAGTGCGTGATAGCTCAGATGAACGCTACTTACTAAGTCTCAGCTTTAGATCTTACGGAAAGACGCTACATACTAGAATTGAACATTGTAATGGTAAATTTATCTTTGACGCTCAACCAGATACAGAGGGCTATCCATCGATAGTTGATCTGATAGAAAATTCAATGAATGATCCACAAACTGGAATATGTAGTTATTCAAGAAGAGGTTCACCTAGCCCACCAATATATCCAGTCAGACTTACTAAACCTGTATCCAGGTTCACTCAAGTACGATCTTTGCAATATATGTGTCGGTTTGTTATCAGACAATATACTAGGTATGACCATATTCAACAGCTTCCATTACCAAAGAAACTTAAAGGCTGGATAGGAGAAAACCAGTACTAATTTATAGTTTTCTATGTGTGCTATGATTATATTTGTTGAATATCTTTTACATTTATTCTTACAAATGTATTGATATATGTTTATTATGTGTGAAAGGTGTGTGAAATCATTGGGCTTTTACTTTTACTTTTAGGTTGTTACAAATTTTTACATATATATATATATTATACAATATAAATACAAGAGGTAGATATTATTACTAGATTTGTTCCATATTTGACAAGATTACAATGAAGAGCAAAAGACATATTAGTAGAGAAACTTGACATTGACAACTGCTGACAAATGCATTTTGCTTTTATTTTTCTCATATCTGTTGGAAATATGTTTTGATATGTTAGGCAGCTTAGTTGTAAGTTATAAGGTGGTTACTGGAATCATCTTTCCATTTTGCCATCAGGTTTTGTTTTTTGGATACAAAACTCTATTTATTGTAGGTTTCAACAAAAATCTTTGCAGATGAATAGATCTCATTGTAAAGTGCAGTGCCCAAGAAACAAAAGCATAATTTTGGAGTTACTGCCTTTTGTAATGTTTATACATGATTATTGTCTTAAGCATATCTTTAAGTTAAAAGTATGTATATTAATCACAACAGTAGCAGGTCTAATTTTAATTTTGATAATTATTAAAGTCAACTGAAACTGTTATCTAACTTTTTATTTAGTGTGTGATTTTTATCTTGTCAAGAGCTTTATGTGTAAATACTATGGAAACTATCCAAATTCTGCCTCCATTGTCATGCTGTGGTTTAATGTTTTGTTTCATCACATATTTTCATTGAATTTTCAAGGTATTGCTTTGATATTAAGCCTGGTCTAGCTCTATACTGGTGTGACAAAGACTTCTCACAATGGGTTCCAGCAGCATTGAATTTCCCTTTAGCCAAATTTGTGTGATTTTCTGATTTCATATGAAATTTGAACAAAGTATTAGGGATGGCAATGAGTACTGATTTATGTACTTGAGTATTGGGTCTTTCTTTCATTGAGTACTTAGTTTCTCAGAAAATGTGTAACCAGGGATTTTTTTTGGCTTATTTTATAGCCGTTATTTGGTCATATTCCCAATTGAAAATAGTATATTATTTTCCCAATCCACAGGAAAAAATTCCCTATTGAAAGTTACAAAATAAAAAAATTGAATAAAAACTAAAATCTTTGAAAATAAGGGCTTCTTCACTGTAATAGTGCTTACCTTGAAAATAAAGATTTTGTTGATTCAAGGGTCTAATGAATTACTTAAATCATATATTATTAAAAACTATTAGCTCTTAACAGTTGTTTGTTTACAAGTACCTTGGAACATACTGGTAATTAAATGTCATAAGCAGCAAAGTTGATGTTTATAGCATACATCTATCAAATTGTAAAGACGTAGACCATTGTCAATTTAATTTGCCATAAAATTCGAATCTCGACATGTATGTAACTATATTTAAGATGTAAATTGAAATGATACTTTTTATCTAATGAGTGCTCTAGTACTCAACTGGTTACTTGTTGCCATCCCTACAAAATAGCATAATATTGACATGAAATCCTGAAGCTAAATTAATAAAACATGATCAAATGGCTGATGGCAGATTGAGCCGTGTTGCAGGATAAGGGTAATGTTCCAGTTATACCCCTTTTTCAACTTTTTAAGTGTTTTAAGGCTTGTTCTGCTTACATGTAAGAGAATGGTCAAGCAGTGTTAAATGACAGGTCTGTAAAAACCTTAACCATTATAAGTTATATAATGTATATTGTCGAAGTATGATATACTTAAATTCTCCAAAAAATATTTCAATAATTATGGACTATAGCTAATTTTGATCTGTTGTATTAATAATTATCAAATGGAACTTTTATGTATTTATTTATGATAGGGCCTCAGTCTATATATATTTTACTTTTTTTTTGTTTTTGTTTTTTTGAATTCACAAATTAGAGAAAAATTTGTAAAATGATAATTTTATGTACATGTAGGCAGCATTTTTGAGGAGGCTGTTTAAAATCATTAAATTTTGTCCATATCTTATATACATGTAATATATAAAGCAGAAGAAATATCTGAATCAGTTGTATGATCATGACATTTCTTCCGAGTGTAAACAAATTGTGCCATACTTGAATTAAAAAAGCAGATCTGTACAATGAGTGTACATGTATGTAATGTTGTTGTGTTAAGTGAATATTTTGAATCTTTTAGTTTTATAATATAAATGTCACACATTTAGCAGAATCTTTAGATGCTTTGTTAGAATGTTTGTTTCATAAATTATCTTGGATGTGTTTGATATATGTTGCCATGGTAACAGACATATTCAAAATTGGGCATTAAAATGGTGTATCCTGGAATAAACTCAAACATATAAATGATGTCATAGCTGGAATAGTTTATATTCCCGATTAACTGAACTTGTACATATATGACAAGATTATGTTAATAAATGCATTTCATTTGTTGCATTAAAATGTGGAGTTGTACTGATGGTAATTAGAAAAGATCAAATTTTTACAGTCAAAACAGAACTTGTATTGGCCCTATAGGTGTTGTGGCAACACTAGCAACTTGTTACAGCTTGTGTTTGAATACCATATAAGAAAATTTCATATTTAATGTGAGCTTCTTGTAATAATAATATTTATTTAATAGAATTTACCACACTTAGGAATATTTTTTCTTCATAAAAAAAGTTTGTTGTTTATTAATTTTTTTAAGTGGTTAATAATGCACCACAAAAAAGTACTGGGATATGTTAAACCTTTTATTAAGGTGTCTTTTTTTCTGCATACTGGTTAAAGTAGCTACATTGTTTATTTAAAGCACTTTGAATCCTAATAGAAACATTAAATTTTTTCAACTAAAGAGAATGGCCTAAAATAGTTGCTATATGAAATACAAATATAATTGTTGTATATGGAAGGCAGGTTGGAATATTAGAGCAATAGTGTCTGTCCATAATACTCATGAAGCATTCTCTACATGCTGGGATGTAATATGTGTATCAAGCTGGTTTATTTGTTTACAGAACATTTGATAGGTTGTATTTTTTTATGAAAATGTTCAAATCCTGATTAGGAATACATATTTTAAACCCTATGCTTCTTACCACTTCAGTTAGTGATGTTAGATTCCTTACTAAATACATTGTATTACAATTTTCACCCATTCATTGGACATATGACTGTTGTAGTTACATCACGTTGATTATGACTTAAAGCTAAGAAGTTATGACAAAGGGGTCTCTGTGGCCAAGTTGTTACAGTCGCTGACTTCAAACCACTCTCCTCTTACTGCTTTGGGTTGGAATCCCACCAGGGACTATGGATTTTTTCATGTCAGATCAGGAAGTTATCGAGCTAGCTGATGGAATGTCAGCTAGTGGTTCTACTCTGGTGCCTGTTCGTGCCTGATATAATGCTCAGAGGGGCATGGGATGTCTTTCACTTCAGTTAAGCTGGAAGATCGCCATATGACATAAACTGTGTTGGTGCAATGCAAAACCCAACCAAAAAAAAATAATATAACTTTTTGACTCGTAGAATGTAATTACATTAACATTATGATGTTTCTTTAAAGACAATACTGTAACTGAGCAAATGGTTGCAGTTTTCCTTTCTTCAGATGTAACCTTAGTCATTAATTTTGATGTGCATGTCTATCACAGCCCTCCTGTTTTAAATGAAAAAAAAAATGGTTTTATCAAAAACTACATTGTAAAATGATTTAATAACACCTAGTTTTTCTTTTGGTCAAAGGTAAAAAATTATGCATTATTTCTTCAGCCAAATTAAGCCCATTTAAACTTATTTTTGTTTTATTTCTCCATTTGGTGTAACTACCTTTTTCTTACAGCAATAAAGATATTAAACTACTAGCATTTCTACTTTACTTTTGTAAATTAATCATGTACTCATTGTGATATGCACAAGATGGACAATGTTGAATAAAAGTACCGGGGTAATTTAAGTTATAGATGGTTTTTGGAGTGATTAATACAAAAAGTTAATAAATAGATATCTTATTTTTGGAATATTCTGGTAGTTTAGTAAGATTGGTCATTATTTTTTTCCCTTAAAAAGAGATCTACTATACAATTTTCCCACCATGTAGGATATGAAAATGTAGGTTACATCATTCTCTGATCCTTAACTTGCTGGTTTTTTGTAACAGATTTGCTCTGCTTTTAATAAACAGTCCAAGTTAAAATTATTTCAGTATAAAATTACCCAAATTGTACTACCAACTGTAATAAGCCTGGTTTAGACTCCACAGATGTGCAAGCTGGCCTGTCTCTAATGATGACAATAGCTTACCACTTTAGGTTGCAGCAAGTTCAGGATATAGATAATACCATTTACCAATATTAAAAATGTAGAGATGTGATATATGTTATTGGACAGCACTTTGTGCTCCAAATGTGGACTGCTATTTATAACTGTTCTTATTTATGGTGTGAACAGAATTGGCAGACATATTTTTATTTCATTAGTACATGTTTAATTGTTGATATATATGAAAGATAATAGCGTTTTATAACTTTAAATGTTTTTTTTGAAAAAATGACATTGTTTAGATAAATTTAATGATTGCATTTAATTGAGTTTTTATTTATTGCCCTGTTACGCAGATGCCCTGGTCATACGACATTTTTCCTGACCGGAGTGTTGCATATAACAGTACACCCTCTGACCCTAATAATGACATCTGCCAGATGTTTTGACAATCCATCATGGAACAAGGGCAACATTGTCGCAATCTACGCTTGTCACAGCTTTTGACCGAGATGTGGGCATTATAGATATGCATACAGGAGATATGCTCTGGGAAATATCTGGATATAGTACCATCTGAAGTGATTTTTTTTATATCTGAACTTTGACCCCTATGTGTGACCTTGACCTTAGCTGCAGGGACCTTAATTTTGCGTGCGACACTCCGCCTGTCAATGGTCCACATTTGTGTCAAGTTATATTGAAATCCCACTATGCATGTAAAAGTTTTGCTCTGGACAAGCGTTTTTCAAAGACCTCTTAGTGTGACCTTGACCTGGTTCATGCACAGGACAAAGCTCATAGTGGTGAACATTTGTATGAAGTTTCATTACAATCCCTCCATATTGGTAGGAGATATGCTCTGGACAAAATCTCTATATTTTATCATCTTAAGAGACCTTGGCAATCATCTTTATTGACCTTGACTTTGCATATATTAATCTAAATTACATGTTTCTCACCAGTAGTCATGATAATGACCATTTGTATTTCAATCCCTTAATAAATGATGACTTAATGGTCCCAATACATTTTCATATTTTTATCTGAACTTTGAGCCTTATGTGTGACAGGGACCTAGATTTTGCGCGCGACACTCCACCTCATAATAGTGAACATTTGTGCCAAATTATATTGAAATCCCTCTATGCATGTAGAAGTTTTGCTCCAGACAAGCATTTTTCCACGACTACGTGTGACCTTTGACCTAGAGGCCTGGTTCATGGGGGCGACACGGCTGGTGAACATTTCTATGAAGTTTCATTAAAATTCCTCCATGGGTGTAGGAGATATGCTCCGGACAAAAATTGGATGCCGCCCGCCAGGGGGGTAACTATAATACAACCCTTTTTTCAAATGGGTGTATAAAAAGATGAATCTTGACACATGGGTTTTGCACATGAAACAGACTTGTACAAATGAAGACATAGTACAAAATTTTGACAATCCCACCAAGAAATGACAAAATTAATAGCTGAAAATGATTTGACCTCTAAGACATAGGTCTTGCATGTGACACATCATCTGACTGGTGAAAACATGCAAACTATTATGATAGTCTTGTCAAGTAAAGTCTGACAGGATTTGACCTTTCACCTCAAAGCGATCATAAAAGCTCACCATGTCACTTTGTGACAGGTGAGCTAAAAAGGCTTCAATACTGTTCAAACTTTGCACAAATGTAACCATATACTCAATCTTAATTGAACATCTCAAAATTGCCAAAAATCACTATTTTGCATTGATTTTTCCATCAAAACTGATTTCAAAGTGCTGCAACCTCTAAATGTATTAAGATAGAGCCAAAGGCTTTTCAGCTTTTATTACAAGTTACCTTACGGTTGACCTGAGGCCATTTATAGCCTCTCACAAGTCCAAAATGGGTTAAGAGGACCCCTCTTGTTTATAAGTACTCCGAGTATAGTGTTAAGGCTCAGTAAGTGTTAAGGTGACAGTGATCTTGAATTTACTAACACATAAAACCCTGAACCATAAAAGGATGGTTGCCTTTGAGTAAAAGGCCCCTACAGTTGTTTTGGGTCAAAGTTTTGTATCAATAGGACTTACAATGTGACTTTTGGCTTTTACGTCTTAAGAGTATATCTACATGTAAATTCATTGGATAATTGCCATTTACAAGGTGCTAACATCGTATACATCAAACATAGTGTAGACACTGTTTAAATTCTTGGCCACCATAAACCTGCTGAATGAGTGACATAGATTTGCCCCAATCTATTTGAAAATTAAGAGATTGTAATAAAAAATGCAAAAATAGAGCTTCCTCTATACCGATTGTGATAATAACTTCTGGTTCCAATTGGGTAAGGGCTAGTGTCTTGGAACAGGCCATATAACTCAATCACAAAATCTTATCATTCTGATGTCTTCGCTTTTAGTAAAATGGCATTCTAATGTACTTAAAGAATACAAACATTATACATGTACTTGTATTTTTTGATATATGAATGTTTATTCCAGATTTATTCTGAAGTATTGCACAAATTAACAAAATAATAAATCAATAAATAAATGAACTTTTACAGAAAATGTTTATATATTAATCACAATTTTTGTGTATATTTTTCATCCTTGATTTAGTCTATACTAATACAATATTTTTCTTTGCACTTTAATTGTCATTAGGAATAAAAAAACAAAATAATGGTTCATAAAAATATTCATTCACTGAATGTTTGAACGCTACTCTGTAGCAGGCAACAAAAAAATGCCCACTGATGTTTACATGTAATTATAAACAAATCTGAATTAATGTCAACAGGTATACAATTTGTACTTTCAGTTTCTACAACCATAGTAATTACTAAGTATATAAATAATGTACTGTCTACTTTTATATTTATAAATTTACTAAATTCAGGCAGACTTTTACTCAATATTTTGGAATAAACTTAAACAACAACTCCCATCTTAAAATTACTACATGTATTTGTTTACATGTTTAGTTTCTTAGCGTAGGTTAAAACAAAAAACTATTCGTTCTGTGTACTATTGTGTTTGAGGTCCTTATCCAAAGACAGAAAGGCAGAGAAGATGACTTGTGTTGTATTTTGAAAAACAAAGGGCCATAATTTCACCAAATATGTTTAAATCGCAAAACACTGACAACATGCCCAAGGACACTTTATGACAAAGCTTCTGAAAAGTTTTATTCAAAATCCCTTGAGAAATGTGATGAAATTGTTTATTAAATTGTTCATGCCTGCCTGTCCACTTGCCAACATACCCCATTTAATAAAAGAACTTTTAATTTACATAAAATAAACATTATATCACAAACAAAACAATTCTGTTTAATAAAATTAGAATGGATATCACATTGAAATAACTTCTTTTTTCAAATTTTCAATTTTTTCTTTTCACTTTGAACATGATCTTCTTTTACTTGGTCAGTCTCTGTTTTGGGATCTAAAGTATGCTCAACTCCACCAGTTATTGACTGGCTTTCACCTGTTTTGGACATTATTGATTGGTCAACTCCCTCAGGTTTTGACTGACTTTCACCTGTTTTGGACATTTCTGATTGGTCAACTCCACCAGTTATTGACTGGCTTTCATCTGTTTTGGACATTTCTGATTGGTCAACTCCCTCAGTGTTTGATTGGCTTTTACCTATATTGGACGCTTCTAATTGGTGAATTCCCTCAGATTTTGACTGACTTTCCTCTGTATTGGACAATTCTGATTGGTCAACTCCCTCAGGTTTTGATTGGCTTTCACTTGTATTAGACAATTCTGATTGGTCTATTTCCTGAGAGCTTCCTGAATCTTCTTTCTCAGAGAATTCTGACAGAGTGTTGCCATCTGCTATCTGTGCTTCAGAATCATCAACATAAATAATGTCTTCAGGATTAGGAGCTTTTGGTAAAAATTCTTCATCAGGTAAAATCTTTTTAAATACCTTTCTAGCCTACAATGAAATATAGAATTTGGTGTTAAGGTGAATGAATTGGGAAGTAGTTTAAAGAGAGTTTCTAAAGAAGCTTTCTACTTAACCCTTTCATGTCTTCGGGTGTATCAACAATGTGAATGTAAATATGACAAAAGTAAAATACATGTACTGTGCTCTTTAAAAAGATGTTTAAACAATATTAATCTGGTGTGTATGATATCTAGCTTTTATATGATTTCTTCTTTCCGAGAACTTAAATCACCAAGAAAATCTTAAAAAGTAAAGCTTCAAATGTAGCTACAGTGTACTTTGAAACCATAAGGAAATGACATAAAAATATTTTGTTAAAATAATATCAAGAATAACTGATAATAATAAAGATTTATCTAATGATAATAGAAATAGATACACATTTTACTTTAAATTATCATAAAAAGACTAGACAACAAAATTTAACTGTTTAAACATGTCAACTCAAACATAATCCAAAACAGGAAACTTTATCTAGCCTCCCTCATTTTTAAATCAACTTATCCCTATTCTATATTTTTAGCAATTTACTGATACATCATGATGCTAGGTTCAGAGCAAGTTTTTCATAGTATCACTCAATAATATGTTTTAAGGAAAACTAAGGTGAAAAAAAAGCTGGAAAATGTACCTGAAGTACCGGTGTATCAATGTCTATTTCAATACCAGGCCCTGACATGAGGATAACATTGTCTGGAATGATGCTACTGCCCTGAACTTCTGACATATCAGTTTGTGTGAAGTAAAGTGACCATATCATAGCTGGTTTGTTCTCGTGCTTGTTTTCCTCTACATACAAAATAATAGTAGTGTTCAACCATATATTCATATCTACATGTATTACAGATAGAGCCAACTAAAATGTAATATGTCCACATTGCTTTGAAACTTGTATTAAATATATAAAACCTGAATGGAAGGACCTATAATGAAATAATTAGTTATTAATGATTGTATTACCAACTAAACTTACCATGTGAAAATAATGTATTGATAGCAAAATTAAGATCATCTTTAGGTAATACATCATCTTTACTTTTCCTTGATAAATGGTACACAACTAGAAATGAGAAAAAATTATAAATAATATATATTCATAAAGCACACAAGAAAACACATCACAGTGAATGTTCTAAGACCTTGTCAAATAACAGTTAGCATTGCAAAAATACACAAATTAATTCAACACTATAACTAATGAAACTTGAACACAAAATGTTCCATTATTTAACTTGCCAATATGCATTAAAAAAACCATTAAAATGGAATTATGCTTCCCATGGAAATATCATTTGTACCTGAAAACAGAATAGCGAGGCAATAGCATGAAAATACAATACAAAGAAATAAAGAAAACAGTTATGTGAATTTGAACTTACAGACACCAGGTGGAGCAGCCAAACTAGATGGCGGAAGTTCTAGTATAGTAATTGGTCTATCACCATCATCTGGACATGGCAGGTTCATCAGTGATAATTGCTGAAATATAAAACTCGCCATTCTTATTTCATCATTATAATAATGTAACAAAATGATAATAACAGATATAAAATGCCACATTATAAAGGAAATACAAGATGTTATAGCTAGACAACAACCTTTTAAATTTTAATTTTGTTACATTTCATTATACAGAACATGAATTTTCGTTTCTACAAACAACATGCATTTATAACCACTTGCAGAGAATACAAATATTTCTTTACAAAGGATCCAGGACTAACACGGAATTTCTTCTCGAGATAAGATAACGATTAATCGTAACTTGAATACAGAACACATGTATACCTCTTGTTGACTTGTGGTCAGCAGTGGAGTCTCTGTCATAATAATTCCTCTAGATATCTTCCTTCTGAAATACAAATCTAATGCTGTATATTCACACATGTACACTGTCCACTTTAAGATGCTAAATCTAAAATATCTATGTAAATTGTAATATGAACCAAGGTGAGCTAAAATTTGAATGATTTGTACCATTGTACAATATGTCTTGAGTTAATGCAATAAAAGCAAACTTAGTTAAAAACTTGTTAAAAACATACCATCATTTTTTTTAAAGTGAAGATGGTCCAAAATTCACCCTTAGGTCATGTTTGTCAATTTTAAAATTTTTATCTTTGGCTATTTATCTACCTATCATTATCCATGTAGAATCATTGGCTTAGTTACTAGCAACAATCATTATAGTGCCACTGAATTTTACTGCCCTTTCAATTACCATTTTACACCTGCTGACACAATGCAAGGTATTTTCTTGTCAAAGAAATTAGCATTAAATTAAGCACTATTATAAAAGGATTCAAATCTGGGACCTCTTGATCAAATCACAGGACATCTGATACCTACTTTGTATTGATATGATGTTTCAATCTATATCAAGTAACCATTTTACCTTCAGTTTAGTGATTACCTGTTATGTTTCTGATCTAAGTAATTTTCTGGTGCATAGCTACCTTCCATAATGAGCCACCTGAAATAACGTCATGATCAATGTTACAAGGTAACACAACATCATAGATATGCACATACATAGGACATTTAAATAACTATGTGAAGGGCCTGATTGGTCAAGTTGTTACTAGTTTTTTTTTTTGAATCACTTGATCATCACCACTGTAGGTTTGAAAAAGAAATGCTGTCAAGGAGTTTTGATTCTAACCAGCAAATAAGTTATCCAGCTAGCTTGCAGAAGATTTGAGATTCTACTCAGATATTATTTCCTTCCCCAGAGAAGCTAGAAAGACATACAACATTAACAGAGTCAATTTATCTAAGAACCAAACAAATTAATTAAATCATTAAAAGCAAAGAAGATTCATTATTTAGGTATATGTATAGCATAGGACTTGTTTTAAGACTGGTGATATACTAGTTTACAAGATTAAGATCCTTAAAACTGTTCTTCTTTTTTATATCTGGTGACTTAAAAAATTGTCCTATTAGTTCAACATAAAAGAGCATCAGTTCGACAGACACACTAATGCTACATAATAATTCTATGTTGTTTCAGAGTATACTATAGTAATGACACTGGATCCTACCATATCAATAGCTCACCCTCAACCTTTGGTTCAGTTCAGCTAATAAATTATTGCTGAAGCCTTTAAATTGACAATGCAGCAATAGTGACAGAAGTAAATTAGTAGGGCATGTAAAATTAGGCTATGATGTAATAATATAAAAGTGATAAATAATAAACAAATAATAAAAATAATTATCAAAACTTACTTGCATTTAATTTTATGTCCTTCTGTGGTTATCACTCCACAACACCTATATATAACAAAAACATTAATCTATGTGAGTAATTTGATTATCAAAATCAGGAACATTTTCCATGTGAGCATAAAGTAAAGCAACCATTACATTTTCATATATAAAAATATGGCTGATTAAATTTACTTTTGTACAATAATTTCTCTATTAACTAACTTTTGTGAGATCATGTCAATATACCATGATGTTGTTTTTGCACAAATAGAAATCTGGTACATCCAACATCCAAACCTGAAACTGGTTTGATCTTGGAAATCTATGTGTTTTCATATATGATCACATAACAGAATGATGACATTTTGAAGACAATATTATCAAGATTTATTTCATTTATAAAAATAATACAATGATTCTCCTCAAAATACATTGTCACTATAAATATTGGCTATCAAGAAAAATAAAATTACTTATTTTCTGAATCAATGACAATGGAAGATGCTGTCATTCTGAGGCAATACACACCACCAAACACTGCACACATTCTGTAAATTAATATATGTAACATATTAAAATGTGTTTTCTTTTAAATGCAAATAAATATCGTACTTTCATAATTTTAATAAAATGTGTATAGATATCAAAATTCAGGACATAAATGCTATAGCTTCTGTAAACTTACTTGCATATGAGCTTTATAACTAATTTTGAATGACTTAAAGTGTAAAGGCATTTCAGGGACAAAGAAAGTACAGGGGTCAGAACTCCAGGGCTAAAATTAGGGAACCGAGATTCCAGGCCTAAAACCAGGGAAGAGACATTCTAAAAACCAGTCAACCAGTCATATTGACAGACACTTGAGGGTTAAGGTCAATCTGGTGGGGATACTACAGGCTGGACAAATGCTAAAGAGTTAGAGTCATTTAGGTGGGCATACAATCAAAGGTTGACTTTATTTAGCAAATCTGTCCAGTTGATAGACACTGCAGAGTTAAAGTCAAACAAGCTAAATATACGCATTATTTATTTACCTGCAGAAGCTCTGTGGAAGTTCCCCACTTCCATACAGTGACCATAGAAATGCTGTGTTACCATAGCGACCAAGTGACTGTAAAAACTTCTTTGTCTTTTCTAATCCCTTCAATTATATTGATATAATCATAATACAAAGCAAATAGAAAGGAACAATGTAGATATTGCTAATTCATGCCTGTACAACTTGATACATAATTCTGTATATATTATAGCATGTTCCTTCTGCTGGTTAATTTCTGGATACCAAAGAAACAACTCCCTATTAGTTATAAGGTACTATTAGTTATAAGGTAGATCAAGGACATTTTCTGACATATCTGATTACATGCTATATTGTACATATTTTTTTTAAAAAATTGCCTGCTTTAACCCTTTCAGAGGCCATAAAAAATTATGGGATCAGGCAAATTTAAGAAAACCCCTTTTGCTAAACTACTAGCAAACAGATAAGAAACTGTTGAAGAACAAGTAATTCAGGAAGTCGAAAAACCTCACAAAAAACTCGAAATTTCGAGTAAAAAATTGGAATCATCTGATGATTGGAGTCTACTAAAATTTTTGTTTCTGTTTCATAATTTTCAACATTACATCTTAATGATAGACCAGTCGTGCTTAATATCTGTAAGCCTAAATGTTCGCCAATTATTTTCAGTTTTATATGCTGCAGTGACATCAACCTTTTAGATAATTCACTATAAAAACAACAAATAAAGACAAAGAGCTAGCAATGTTTGGAGCCTACAGTTCTGTGAACCAATAAGTACTTGAGCAGACATTGTTTATGATGTCCATAAAGCATTACAAACATGTATTTACCTCTTTTGTGGTCATAGATTCAGTTGCCATGGCAATGGAGTGTTGAATATAATGTTTGATAGTTGGAGTGAGCTTCTTGTGGGATAAAAAATCTGAGAATGGTTTCTCTAGAAAATCTGAAAAAGTATAATTACAAATTATTTACTGTGAACCTGTGGTAACTCTATGTTCACTGACAAACTTCAAATTTTCATTGTGATATCCCAAAAAAATGATCATGAATTATTACAGAAATGAAAGCTGGACAAATCCATCAAAGAAATTTACCAGGTACTATGAAATATATGATGTCCATTTAAGATATTTTGATGAATTACAAATTCTCCTGCAGTTATTATGTGTAGTTTTAGTAACAATACAATGCATTTCTGTTGTATTCAAAAGTTTTTAATACAGTGAAATCACACTGGTTTTTTTTCTGTTAACCTATCAAATCCAGATAGAACTAGTATAAAGTATGTAATAAAACAATATGATATATTGATGACACCTCCTAATTCTTCAGGTTTGTTCTCATACTGTAGACAATACTGAAGGAATTTCATCAACATTCTCTTTTCCAACATGCTCACTTTCTTACTGCTGAACACATCTGCTCTAGAACATGGTACCTGTAGTATAAACATTCTATTTGTTATGTATCTTTTAGTTAAAATGAAAATTTTCAATGAATACCTTCACTGTTTGTCGAGACAGAAAGTGCATGCTTAATCTTACAAAGGAATTCATAATAATACAAAACAAAAGCTATCGGTAGGACAGCATGCTCGACTATTCTAAGTGCTTGATAGTAAAAGAACCTTGATAATGTAAAAATTTCTAAGTTTACAAAAGGGCCAATTTTTTCTTTAAATCCATGTTACAGTTACAGGCCTTGGACAGAGTCCTATTTTGCTCTCAAAGAAGTGTATAAAATTTCAACTTGTTCCAAAGCCAGATGTCAATGGAATATGAAAATATGTAAGGTGGTATGCAAACTTTAATGTAAATTTTAAGTCGAAAAATGGGCAATATTCTATAGAGTTTTCTCCTCTTGTTTACAGATTAATGGTATGATGGTGAACAAGTGTGCAAAGTTTCAAAGCCATATGTCAATGGACAATATTTGAGGTGTTACAAAAACTTTAACATAAGTGGTTATGCCGAAGCCCACGCCGATGCTGGGGTGACTACAATAGCTAACAAGAGCTGTCGGTAGGACAGCAACGCTCGACTATTCTTAGTGCTTGATAGTAAAAAAAATGCTTGATAGAATTACCTCTTCCTGTTTACAGGTTGGGGTCATGATGGTGAACAAGTGTGCAAAGTTTCAAAGCCATATGTCAATGGACTTTGAAAATATTTGAACTATTACAAAAACTTTAACGTAAATTCTAAGTCGAAAAAGGGGCATAATTCTGTCAAAATGCTTGATAGAGTTACCTCCTCCTGTTTACAGGTTGGGTTCATGATGGTGAACAAGTGTGCAAAGTTTCAAAGCCATATGTCAATGGACTTTGAAAATATTTGAACTATTACAAAAACTTTAACGTAAATTCTAAGTCGAAAAAAGGGCATAATTCTGTCAAAATGCTTGATAGAGTAACCTCCACCTGTTTCCAGGTTGGGGTTATGATGGTGAACAAGTGTGCAAAGTTTCAAAGCCATATGTCAATGGACTTTGAAAATATTTGAACTATTACAAAAACTTTAACGTAAATTCTAAGTCCAAAAAGGGGCAAAATTCTGTCAAAATGCTTGATAGAGTTACCTCCTCCTGTCTACAGGTTGGGGTCATGATGGTGAACAAGTGTGCAAAGTTTCAAAGCCATATGTCTATGGACTTTGAAAATATTTGAACTATTACAAAAACTTTAACATAAGTGGTTACGCCGACGCCGACGCGGACGCCGACGCTCGGGTGACTGCAATAGCTCTACTTATTCTTATCGAATAGTCGAGCTAAAAAGCGATAATTCATTAAATATCCACCTCAAAAGGTATCATCCTATGCCAGTTTCAAGCACTGAGAACCCAAAAGACAAATATGATATCAAAACTAAAACTTTAACCAGTGATTTTCGTGGCTCACAAAGAGCTGTTTTCAGTAAAACTTGCATGCAAAAATTCAACATTTGAAGACAATTTCAAAATCTACAAAGTGATATAATTCTGTCAAAACTTATTCTAGTAAATTAATCATATTGAATAAATTCTGAAACACTGGATTTTGGCCTGTAGAAATGTAGACTTACCCTCTCAAGATTTCCATTCATCAAAGTAATAACTTGAGTGATGGTTTTAAATTCACAATATTTGGCAATATCTGAAGATATCAATAATTCAACCATGTCTCCCACAGAGTATAGTACCTGAAGGAGGTAAAAAAAATTACATGCAACAATATGATGTATTATTGTTTACAAAGAAGTTATTGTACAAAATATGTCTTTCCTACTTTCATTAAACAAAACTGACTTGCCTTTATTATACAGAAAATGCTGTAACATATTTATACTAACAGATTTATAATGTACAAATGTACAAAATATTGAAATATACAGTATTTTTGGTGTAAAAATATCATGCCATATTTCACTGATCTTTTGAAAAAAAACTTCAATTTAACCAACAACTTGTGAGAAGAAAATTTATGCAAGACTATACAGTCCATGCGCCATTGTATGAAGTATTAGAATCTGTTAAATTGTCCTATTTTTTCTAACTGCAATGGTCTACAAAAAGGGAATAACTTATGGGGTACAAAATATTTTGTAAATTTCTTATTGAAATACTCTTATCACTTGAAAAAATAAACAAGTCAACTTCAGTTATAAAAGATGATTATTTTTATGATTATTTATTGTTCGTAAACTGGAATAATTTCATAAGACCTCAAAAACTAATGACAATTACATCTCAATTTGTTTAGCATAAGCTAAACAGACAGCAAGGACAGATGGTTCAAAAAAACCTTGGGTCCTAGAATCGCTGTTATTCAAATTAGTGACATAGAGAAAATTGTACTACTCATTTCCAGCTATCGCCCTATGTCACTCCTAATGTGGACATAGATATGTGTATTTAAAAAGAACTGTTTTCATACCTTTGGTGACAGGTCTAAATTAAACTTTCGCCATTCTTCTTTCAATCTCTTTGCTGTCCATCTCAATTTAGATTTACTATCCTGCCTTTCATTTAGCTTTTCTTCAGTTGCTTTATAATCCATATTTTTGCTTTCTCCACTATCTTGTTTACTTTCACTTAAGTTATCTTGTACATCTGTTTCAAGCTTTTCTAATCTTTTACTTTCATCATCGGTTAACTGAAGATTCTCTACTTGCTCTTTCATACTCTGAACTTCACTATCTATAGCACAATCAGCTTGTTTCTCCACAGAACTCTCCTGTTGATCAATCAATCTTGTGTCACATTTATCTATCTCAGCACATGTTTTATTATTAGTACCATCTCCACTTTCAGTATTTTTTGTATCATTTATATCACAGTGTTTGGGTGACTCATCAGTAAGTTTAGACCCAGCAACTTCACTTTCTTGTACATTATCATCTTCATCTGTATCCCTATAGAAACAATCAATACTTCTTAATTTTATATTGTCTCAGCAATTAAAAAAGATATTATACATGTATTCTTGTACAAAGATTACCTAAGTAATACAACAGAAACATATATACTGTTCTCTTAGGTAAAGCATTGTATGAGCTATGTATGTATGAATATAGACATTAAGGTACAATATAACAGATAAAATAAAGTTAACAAGTTATTTCTAAGCATACCATTTAGGGAAATGGTTTGCCTACAAATCAATGGTTTATGAGTTTGACTATCCCAGGTGATTCATATGTTTCCTGTGTTGAATAAGATAGAATGTCTAACAAAATTTGTTTACCATATTTAAATGTTGTTGAGACACTTATTAAAATCTTTATTTTACTGATAGCTAAAAATATGTGCAAATTCATCAGACAAGAAAGTTAAGTCTGAGATACTGAGATAACTCATTCAAAGTCTTATATATATAAGATAAAGATATATATAGTTTTCACGTTGTCTTAACTTGTCTACTGATACCTCAAATTAAACTTACGGAAGGTAGTTCTGGACTTGTGTATTAGAAAAGTTTGTGTTGTTTAGAGGTAATTCAATCAATGTTTCCCCCTCGTCTAGAAGACTACTCTCATCTAAAGATGGCCGTGCAATATCATTTTCTTTGGCTTCTTTTGTATCCTGTTTAAAATTAGTTTCAATTTCATGAAAACAATCTTTTATATCCATATTCCTGATTTAGTAAGAAATTATTATGATGCAATGTTACATGTTTCCTGCATGTACTTATTGCAAACACTTTTATCTTCATTTATCATTTCACTGGACTCATTTCATATCAGTTTATATGATATTGTAAGACATAGAGCACCCATTATATTAAAATATGTGCCTTGACAGAATAGTCTTCATTGTAAGTTATAGAAATGATTGGCCATTGTATTGTACCAAGATTCATGTTAAAAAGTGCAATTTAACTGTATATAACCAAGAATTATGTTGTATCAAATTACCATATGTTGCTGTGCCCATTTTTCTATGCCCTGTAGATTAAAAGATGCCCAATCCCCACTATAGTGATCATTCCTGAAAAAGAGTTATTTATACAAAAAAACATTTACAATGTATATAAACAAATCATGTTTAATAAGTTGATATAGTTTTTCAGAATTATATTCTTAACAAAGTTATATTTTTTATGTGTAACATATGCAAATGAAAGGAACACTGACAGTGTAACAATGTAGAAGAGTTGTGATGCCAAGCTATTTAGATTGCTAGAATACAAACACTTATCCTTTTGGTTAATCAATCAGTATTTTTTTTCTGTACATTATTTGTGTAACTTACTTGTCCAGATGAAGCACTGTCTGTCCTATCCTTGAACATGCAGCAGCAACAATACTTTCTGGCATACCTGTAAATTTATACATTGTTTTGTTTCATTTACTGTGCATACATGTTTAAACAGAATGTAGCCCTTGAATTTGATTTACCCCTTATGAATAATAAAGAAACATTTAAATTTAATTATTTCCAAAAAAGTTCAAAGGCTTGCTATTAAGAAGTTTTATTAAGTAAATCACTGCTTGATTATTATGACTATATAAACTTGTCACAAAAAAGGCACAGACCCTTCAGTAGTCCTGGAGATATCGGAACTTAATTATGCAAAAAACGAATCAGAGTTGGTACTTATACCACTCATGTTAGATAATCACAGAGAAGCAGATGAAGTTTCAATCCATTCCCTTCCATAGTTATGGAGATACCAGCTTACATGCAAAAACTTAACCAAGAATTTCTATAGTTATGGAGATACCAGCTTGCATGCAAAAACTTAACCAAGAATTTCTAAGTCAAAAAGGGGCATTTAATGCAAAAAAGCAATCAGAGTTATGGGACTGGTGCCAATAATGTCAGATAATCACAGAGAAGAAGCATGTGAAGTTTCAATCCATTCCCTTCAGTAGTTATAGAGATACCATGTTACAAAGAATTTCTTAGTCCAAAAAGGGGCATAAATATGCAAACAAGAAACATGGCAATGCCATGAAACCAGGTTTTCAATTATCACCATTGTAGATAAATATGTTGTATTTGAAATACAAATACAAGCAACAAACAATGTAACTATGTGCAATGTAAAACATGAATAATGTAGGAGGAATTGCCACAGAGGAAGTGTTCACTATAATTATATTCTGTATAAGGAAAAAAAACAAAGGGCCATAATTAAATAAAAAATTATTCAATCACAAAACTCCGACAATATGCGCCAGGGCACTGGATGACAAAGCTACTGTGAAAGTTTGAACAAAATCCGTTGAGAAATGTAGGAGTTCAGCACAGAAGAATTTTTTCACTATATATTCTGTATAAGGAAAAAAAACAATACAGAAAAAAAACAAAGGGCCATAATTAGGTCAAATATTATCCAATCACAAAACCCTGACAATATGCGCCAGGGCACTTGAGTACAAAGCCTCTGTGAAAGTTTGGTCAAAATCCATTGAGAAATGTAGGAACAGTTGGGCACAGAAGAAATTATTCACTATATATTCTATATAAGGAAAAAAAACAAAGGGCCATAATTAGGTCAAATATTATCCAATCACAAAACCCTGACAATATGCGCCAGGTCACTTGATGACAAAGCTTCTGTGAAAGTTTGGTCAAAATCTGTTGAAAAATGTAGGAGGAGTTGCGCACAGAAGAAATTGTTTACGCCAGCCCGTCCACCCATCCGCCCGCCCGCCGACATACCTCAATCTTATAACCAGTTTTTTCCTTCGGAAAACCTGGTTAAAAAGCAAATCAGAGTTATGGGACTTGTGCCAATCATGTGAGATAATCACAGAAAACAAGCGTCTGAAGTTTTAATCCATTACTGCATACATCCATTGTAGTTATTAACAGTGTATTTGTCACATGACATAAGCGGCAATGTCTTTATTTTGATGGTACATGTGTTTACTTTTCAATTAAAACCGTTATGTTAGGAATATTTTCACAAATAAACATGGAATTGATGTCGAAATGAAAAATCTTTAAAGGTATTGTAACAAATTTATTCAAATATGAATTGTAATACGATTTTAGACGATACAAAGCCTGCGCTAAAAATCCTGGCGCAAATTTTACCACAGAAAAGGTACTTCTTATGCTATACATAGAGGCAAGATATTGCCACGACACAAAATAGCACAATATCTGGTCTTGCAGTACAATTATATGGACTAACTTAGGTGGGAGGCGCCCGTATCAATTCAAATGAAATCAAATTAAAAGTAAATGAAAATTTCAAAAAAATATATAGTCTATACCTGATGAGTTGCGAAAAAATCCTTAGTTAACTGGGCGCCGCCATTTTGAAATCCTTTTGAGCTTAATATAGATATCAGAGCGCTTTTAATGAGCGTCTACATAATTCAGACTATTGCTAGCAGACGCTTGCTAAATCACACTTCCAGCGAAAGAATGATGTACAAAATCAAAAAATAAACATGCATTTCATTGATAACAACTATAGTAACGGTCATAAATATAAAAAGTTACTTTAACCTATCCTTTTTGATAAATTAGCACATTAAAAAATAACATTAAAACAACAAATGGATTAAAGATTAACATAAATGGCGGGCGGGATTTTCCAAATGCCAACGCATGCGCTGTGGTCATCCTTTACATTCGGAGATTTTCGGAATATTCCGAGCGTTCCAATGATAGGTTGAACATCACCAATTTATTTGTTTTGTTTACAGTACAAAATACCTGCATGCATTACTGATGAAGTGCAAGAAAGATCTGGTTTACATGTACACTAAACATATTATGCTAAAATCATAATTCATAATAGCTTTCTGCGCCATAGGTAGCACCTAATTTCATCATATTAGGCGGGGTATTCTTGTAGAGGAACAACCGCAACTTTTTGGCTTGATAATAATCAGCGAGGTGTTCAAGTGAAAATTGAAGCGGTGCAATAAATACTGAATTACACTTTTAAAAAGGAAAATGTAAAATAAAAAATAAACGATTATTTTAACCAACTTCCCTTTTCATAGACTATGGCAAATTTCATATTTGGTGTAAATATATTTTTTTTCTTCTTCTTTTTATTGAATTATGTTCCTTTTAAATATAGGGGCCTATACATGTAGTCTATACATGTAGTCTATAGCCAGGCAAGCGAAAGCTTAGCCTTTACCTTTACCTTCTCCTTCTTCTGAGCATTTATATGGCCTTAAGCTCCTCCTATACAGTATTATCAAGATAACTTCAGTCATTGTCACTTGTATTAAATCTTTGACTTTGCCAGCTCCGGTCGAGTAAAGTTTTAAATGTCAAAACACTTTCACTGAGATCTAAATTATTCCACTGGTCAATGCATCTAATAGGAAATGAATTTGACTTCCCCATATCTAAAAACAGTTTAACTGGAAATTAATGCTGTAAAATGTTGAATTATCACGGAGACCAATGATTTATTGTAGACTGGGAGCTGGAAAATTATCACAGATTCCGTCTGACTATTACTAATTTCTAATTATATCAACAAATGATATGATTAAAAAGACGCGAAATCATATGTCAAATCATTTTGTAAGAAAGACATCAATATATACTTTAAAAATAAATAAGTAATGACAAAAAGTCAATTCAATTGCTTTGAAATAAGTAGATAGATATTCAGAACAAGAGCTGTCAGTAGGACAGCACGCTCGACTATTCTAAGTGCTTGATAGTAAAAGAGCCTTGATAATGTTAAATTTTTTAAGTTCACAAAAGGGCTAATTTTTTTTTATAAATTCATGTTATAGGCCTTAGAGAGAGTCTAATTATACAGTATTGGCTTGACTATTCGGAAGGTAATGTCACAAGGGTGTTTTATTGAGTATAATAATACTAATTACCTATGAATACATAAATTTGACAGAAAAGGTACAAAGGCTTGTTATTAAGTAAATCACTGCTTTATTATTATGAATGCATAAAATTGTCCCAAAAAAAGGCACAAACCCTTCAGTAGATATTGAGATATCAGCTTACAAGCAAAACTTTACCATGAATTTCTAAGTTGAAAAAGGGGAGAAAAATCAGCCTTAATGCAAGATAGAATTATGGATCTTTGTCAGTGACCTACAATTATGACCCTAAATGCATATGTGAAGTTTTAAATAAATATCTTTAATAGTTATTGAGAGATATGTTAAAAACTTGCATGTAAACATTAACCAAGAGACTAAGTAGAAAAGGGGATATGAATCAGCCTTAATGCAAGATAGAAGTTATGGGAACTTGGTCAGTGACATTACAATTATGACCCTCCAATTATGGCCCTAAGTGCATGTGTAAAGTTTCAAGTAAATATCTTTGAAGACCTTTAACCTTTAACCAAAATTTCTAAAAAGTTTCAAAGGGGCAAATAATTCTGCAAATATTGCAGGCAGAGTTATGCAAATATTGCAAAACTGATGAACATTGTTACTATAAAAAAAAAGTATTTTAAATTTCAATTGAATATCTCAAGCAATAATTGAGATATTTGACTTTACAAAAAAAACTTTAACCAAAATTTCTAAGTTCCAAAGGGGCATAATTCTGTCAATATTGTAGGCAGAGTTATCCAACTTGTTCAATCTGATGTACCTTGTTACTATAAATAAGTATTGTAAGTTTTTCAATTGAATATCTCAAGCAATTATTGAATATTTGAACTTTACAAAAAACTTTAACCAAAATTTCTAAGTTAAAAAGGGGCATAATTCTGTCAATATTGAGGGCAGAGTTATCCAACTTGTCAATCTGATGTACCTTTTACTATAAATAAATTATTGTAAGTTTTCAATTGAATATCTCAAGCAATAATTGAGATATTTGACTTTACAAAAACTTTAACCAAAATTTTCTAAGTTAAAAAAGGGGCATAATTCTGTCAATATTGTAGGCAGAGTTATCCAACTTGTCAATCTGATGTACCTTGTTACTATAAATAAGTATTGTAAGTTTCAATTGAATATCTCAAGTAATAATTGAGATATTTGACTTTATAAAAAACTTTAACCAACGCAGACGCCGACGCAGACGCCGACGCCGACGCCGGGGCGACTACAATAGCTCTCATATTCTTCGAATAGTCGAGCTAAAAATGTACCTGTGCCGAGAACAATCACGTCAAATTCTTTTGACAAGTCGTCAGTCATCGCCATGTTTAGCATAAAAATACTATCCACATCTTCGAATTATCACAATCGTTGAATGAAATATACATAGGTAGAAATCAATTTATTTGTTCAATAATAAATCCAACATATTATATATGGATTTTTTTCACTATATCAATTTCATGGTAGGCTACCATATTGATTTTAAGGAAATTCGTTAAGCTGGCTATACAAAACGAAAGCGGAAACTAGGGGTTAAAGTCAAAATTTTGGAGGTGGGTTTTTTTGTTTACATTTTGTAAAATCCTTTATGTTGCAAGCTCAATCAGTGAGTCCTGTTCATCTTGTGCATCATTTAGTTTGTTTTTTTTCCTTACAAAATATATGTGAAATTTCAAATTAAATTCATCTTCAATGTTAAAATTCATCTACTGTATTTCGAAAATAATTTTAGTTTTTACAATCATAGAGATGAAATTTAACTTGTAAATTATTTTAAAAAGACATTATTACATGTACATAATACTGCTTCAAAATCGTTTACGATTACACTAAGCAGGTATATATTGTATACATTGAATTGAGAGACAGCTTAAAGCCCAACAAATTGTATCTACTCAATTTTTTTTCAATTTAATGCTGAGCTAAATTAGTTGTCAATTTCGAAATATGGACTTGTCATGTGGTCGATATTCATGTTTTGTTATTTCTTACGAATATCGTTTTTATGTATCATTTTGTTCGTGTATTTGTATATATATTTCGTGTATGTGTCTGTTATCTATGTTTCTCTACAGTCCGATATACAATCCATTATCCCATATCATTCCTATATCAATAAATTAATATCATTCCTATATTATTCCATTTCATCATCATTTCATCATAACAACTAATTTCTTACATTTCATTTCAACAGAATTTGCATGCCGGGCCTCAGTTTTTACAAACTTCACAGAAAAAACCACCTCACGCATGCACACTAAATTGATATAAATATTTCTAAGGTTTGCGCCAGAAATTGTTTGTGTTATTTATTTATTTATCAAGGCGTATGTTTAATGTCCTTTACAGGTAATTGTTGTTATTCATTATTTTTCATTATCATGCATCTTTCCATTGATCGTTTATGTATTTCGGAACTGTATTTATGCACTTTGATATAAATATTTCTAAGGTTTGCGCCAGAAATTGTTTGTGTTATTTATTTATCTATCAAGGCGTATGTTTTATGTCCTTTACAGGCATAAACAGCCATTCCCTACATGTAAAAGGACCATACGACATACTTTTTATAAGGCTGTTACAGGTGCTTCAATTACTATAGATAATAACAAACTAAATGATGCACAAGATGAATCACAGGGATTATTGATTATTCTGGCGATGTTTATATGTCACTAAAATTTGAAAATTGTGAAGTTATTTTGAATTTTACATGAACACTCGCCATTTTCTCATGGATGGGCATTATGTCACTTTATTTAATATTTATATCCATATAGACAGTCAGTTTTGCTATTATTCTCCTTGTTCAGAATATTGTTGATTCTCTTTTTTTTGTGATTGTTTGAAATTATAATGGATACAAATAACAATTTAATTAATTAAATTAAGTTTGAACTTCAATAATAACTTTTATGATATGTTGTTGATATTATAGAAATTCACAATGCAACATGGCTCTTGGGAAAGCTCAGTTTGGAGTGTCAACATTTTTTGCTGCAAGTCATTCAAATGATAAATGTGGTGCAAATGGGTTACCACTGACTCCTAATTCTATCAAGATTGTCGGAAGATTTCAGCATCTGAAGACACTAGATCATACACATGTTTGTAAATACCTGGACTGTGTCCGAGGCAGGCATGGCAAGTATTGTATACAATGAAATGAATATAAATAACATTAAATGATTTGTGATTTAAGAAGTCAAATTTAAGTTAGCACTGACTTATATTACTAAAGTACATCTTGGGTCACAGTTTTGAACCATATATTTCTTGTCTGTTTATTGTTTCCTTCATCATTGTTACTTGTAGCGTCAGTATATAGAATTATACACTGATTGGGGAAAAATGTGTAAGTGGCTGGGTAGCGCAGTCAGTCGAGCTAAGGAATGGTGTTCATTAGATTTTAGATCAAGGTCAAGGGTTAAAGCCTTTAAATTACTGTGTGCACTATATGTTAACAATTTTAAGATTGTTCAATTCATTGATATACTAAGATTTAATATGGCACCATCATCAAACATTTCATATATCAAAGATTACATAAAAAACAGTTCAGAATAAGTCATTCTTTACTTTTCATTGACATAATAACCTGAAGTGACATAGGAAAACATAAGTTATCATTATTAAGCAAAGAAAATGGAAAGGTATAAATTATAAATAATGTAATATCTGTGTGATAATTGTGAGCTGTTACTATATTTATGATTTATTCTGACTTATTTTGATATTTATGATTATTCTGACTTATTTTAGAACGACTTGTCATTGTTCAAGAACATCACACGAACAACCTCAATATAGCCTGGAAAACAGGAAAATATCAAAGGTTGGTATCATCGACATCCTTCATTATATCTTGTTATTTGTACACTTATTCTTTTATCAAATGTACCAAGGCTTGTGTTGAATTTCACAAGAAAAAGTCAATTGACAATATTTAAATTCCTGTATTTAAACATGAAAATGTAAAGTGATTATTTGTAAGAATGAATGTAATGTGTTATACTAGATATAAGTTATATAGCTTTTTTTACCTAACAATATTTCAGACTGACATGTATTTGATATTTTTGACTATGGTAACCCTATCAATTTGATCTGTTAATAATAATTTTTGAATTTATTTTTATATCCTCAGAACTTCCTCACATCAGGGGAAAATAAGGGAAAACCCTTTTTTCGTAAAAACCCTTTTTTCAATTCAGATTTTTCTTTCATCAGAAAAATAAAAAAATTTCAATACTAAAATTTTTTAAACCCAAATTTTTAAATTAATTCCCCAATACAGATTTTTTTACCTGATCATCAAACTAATTACAACTTCAGGTAAACTAACATAATAATTTGTCAAACACATGTGATGTGCACCAACATTTATTTCTACCTGTATAATGTCATGTATAATATCTTGAGTATTTTGGGGCAGAAGTTTTTACTGAAATAAAATTTTAATTTAATTGGATTTCTTATTTTTTTGACGGAAGTTTTTACTGAAATAAAGATTAATTTAATTGAATTTCTGACTGTGAAATATTTATAAACTTTCAGTGAGGAAAATTTAATGAAGCTTGCATTTGAGGTGTTACAAGGATTGGAATATCTCAACAAGAATCGTGTTTGTCACAGAAATCTCAAGTTAGAAAATATTCTCTTTGATCCAGAGGTAAGTATTCTTCATCATTCTCGTCGATAGAAAATACATTTAGCTTATGTTAAAGGAACTCCAGTGAGGTTCAAAGGCATAAAAACTGAAAATTTTAATGTTTTATACATATATCAAAGTTAATTGGGAAATTCACTCAGAATTTAATTGAAAAACAATTTTTTGTGTGATTCTTAACCCAACCCGATTTGAGTTAAAAATCTTTAACGCTCATCAATTATTGTGGTCAATTTGCACAATGTAAATGATTGTTCTTTGAAAATAAATTAAATGAATGGCCTTTAATTTGCTAACAGGATACTGGTCCAAGCTAACAGCAAAAGGTACAAACATTTTGAAAAAATAATTCCAGTTCCAGCTGTCAAAAACCGAAAATAGATGCCCTCTTAACTTACTATTCTTAAGAACTTAAACAATAAGTGGCAGATTGAAAGGGAGAAATATATTTCCTAATTTATGGTTGAGCTCACAGGACATGTAGCACATGGCTTTATTTTTTTCAAAACAAATGACATTTCTGAGATTATGATTGATACGAAAACATGTAGTGATATAAGTAAACAGTCATGTTCAACACTTAGAATTCTAGCAGCGGTAATGAATTGCCTTGGAGGCCACCTTTATGTTTATGATGGTATTACCTACCCTGGGGCCTCCATGGCCTAGTGGTTGAGTTTGGCAACTTCAGATTACTCACCTCTCACTGTGGTGGGTTTGAATCCCTTCAGGAACTTTAAATTATTTAATGTGAGGTAGCTATCCAGCTAGTTTGAGCAACTAAGGTCATTTAACACCAGTAAAGCTGAAAAGTTGCCATATGACCTTTACAGAGTTAGTGTGACTTAAAATCCAACATGTAATCAAAATCAGGTCTAAGCATTGGTACAACCTGTCCATACTCTGTATTGTTGGCTGCCTTGTTTTAGTAGATTATTATCTAAGTCCTTCATGCTATTAATGATCAGTTGCAGCTAGCACTGAAACTATATGGTCAGATGTGTACTGTGATATTCTGCCTACAGCATATTGCAATATATTGATTGCTATGAAAAACAATATGAAATAAGAAGCTGCTGTTATTTTCAATTTGAAAAAGGCTACATAAATTATAATAACACTTTTAAATATGTTTGTAGAAACACTCCTTTATTTAAACATTCTAAAGACATTTATATCAAACAAAAGGAAATAAAGACGTTTGTACATGATCAGATGTTGCACTGCTTGAAAATAGTTTGATATATATGATCTTACATTTTGATCAAATTATTGTTTACATAAAAGAATTATGACTATTCGATAAGAATACGTAGAGCTATTGTAGTCACCCGAGGCTTCGGCGTAACCACTTATTTAAAGTTTTTGTAATAGTTCAAATATTTTCAAAGTCCATTGACATATGGCTTGAAAACTTTGCACACTTGTTCACCATCATGACCCCAACCTGTAGAAGGAGGAGGTAACTCTATCAAGCATTTTGACAGAATTATGCCCCTTTTTCAACTTAGAATTTATGTTAAAGTTTTTGTAATAGTTCAAATATTTTCAAAGTCCATTGACATATGGCTTTGAAAACTTTGCACACTTGTTCACCATCATGACCCCAACCTGTAGACAGGAGGAGTAACTCTATCAAGCATTTTGACAGAATTATGCCCCTTTTTCAACTTAGAATTTATGTTAAAGTTTTTGTAATACCTCTTCAAATATTTTCAAAGTCCATTGACATATGGCTTTGAAACTTTGCACACTTGTTCACCATCATGACCCCAACCTGTAGACAGGAGGAGGTAACTGTATCAAGCATTTTGACAGAATTATGCCCCTTTTTCGACTTAGAATTTACGTTAAAGTTTTTGTAATAGTTCAAATATTTTCAAAATCCATTGACATATGGCTTTGAAACTTTGCACACTTGTTCACATCATGACCCCCACCTGTAGACAGGAGGAGGTAACTGTATCAAGCATTTTGACAGAATTATGCCCTTTTTCGACTTAGAATTTACGTTAAAGTTTTTGTAATAGTTCAAATATTTTCAAAGTCCATTGACATATGGCTTTGAAACTTTGCACACTTGTTCACCATCATGACACCAACCTGTAGACAGGAGGAGGTAACTGTATCAAGCATTTTGACAGAATTATGCCCCTTTTTCGACTTAGAATTTACGTTAAAGTTTTTCGTTAATACCTCAAATATTTTCAAAGTCCATTGACATATGGCTTTGAAACTTTGCATACTTGTTCACCATCATGTCACCAACCTGTAAACAGGAGGAGGTAACTCTATCAAGCATTATTTTTACTATCAAGCACTAGAATAGTCGAGCGTTGCTGTCCTACCGACAGCTCTTGTTGTGGAACATGGTCATAATAGAAAATTTAGTATAGCTAGGATTAAAAGATTACTTAAAACACAGTTACTGATGTTTTCAGGATAAAGCGAAACTGTCAGATTATGGAATGTACTATATGAGTAGTGGCGGTGCATATGTTAGTTTTCCTATTGGGTAGGTTTTCTCATTATATTTGTTATATCACTGAAGACCTGAAACTTTAGTTTTTACTTATATTTCATATATTTTCTGTCTGAAACTTGAAAATTATTGTCATTTGGTTTTTTTTTATATTAATAGATGATAATTATATGATTAAAACATGCTTCATAATAATTTAGGGGCTCCAGATTTCAGCTCACACTGTCACATGATATGCTTTTTCCTGAGTTTGAAATTGTGCTACAAAGTATGGAAGATAGAAAAAATCAAATGGCCAAATTTTGTCACAAAAATTTTTGAAGGAGGAGTTTACAGCTTGAATAGGAATTAAACTTCATATTACTTCCCTAATAAACCACCAATAGAACTGTTCGTCATTTTAACTGTATGTTTATTATTATGTATTATTTTTTATTAAATTAGTCAGCTAAATTACACAAGTCCCGAGGTATTAAGTTGTGGGCCAGTTATAATTGATGAAGAAACAGAGTTATCGATCTTACCACCATCAAGTCCTAAAGTTGATGTTTGGTCACTTGGCATTATACTACTAGAACTGTTGTCAGTAAGTATATTCTTCTAAGAGGCAGTTCATTGAAGTAAATTTTTATCTCAAACTAGATAATATGCTTTGTTTTTCTTATTTCATTTTTAGTCTTTAGGTATAAAAAAAAATTGTGTAAGACCAGAAAGCTAGTAACTATGTTTACAATAAACCCAAAAGGATATTTATATTCTTGCTACTGTCAACTAACTTGTATGAAAGAACTTCAGTAGAAATATTCACCATTTTTAGCTTGGCTTTTTCACACACAAAAAAGAGCTATTACTAACGTCATGTTGTTGATCACTGCGGATGCTGTTGCTGTGTAAACATTTTTAACATTGGTCATAATCTTTTTAATTTCTCAATAGATTGCCTTGAAACTTAAATTTAATTGACCATGACCTCAATTTGAACTTGACAGTATTAGTCAAATTAGTCAGTTTTACTACAGTTGGCCATATCTTTGTTATTTCATCACAGATTTGATTTATACTTGGACAAAATAACACATGTGACAAAACTGATATGTTGAAGTATTCTGATATGATCTAGACCTTTAATTGATGTTGTCGTTCAAGGTCAAAGTATTTAAGTTTCTTAAATTGTTGTAACTTTGTTATTTATTTACAGATTTGATTTATACTTGGACAAAAGAACACATACGACAAAGCTGACATATTGAGGTATTCTAATATGACCTTGGCCTGTAATTGACCTTTACCATTAAGGTCAAATTGAAATTTGCTTAAATGATTACAACTTGGTTATTAAAGTAGGGATTTGATTCATTTCTAGACAATAGAACACTTACGACAAAACTGACATGATAATGTTAGTGTGACCTTGACCTTTGAATGATTTTGACTATGATGGTAAAATATGGAAATTGAATTATATTTTGTTTAAGAAAATAATAAAAGGAATGACAGAGTATGTACAGAGAGTTTAATCTACATTGTACCAAACATAAAGTTGCATTGTAACAAGCTGTTTAGATATGTATACTACCATTTTTGTACATGATTTATTTCTTATTCTAAATTTGTATATTGTTTTTAGGCAAAAAGAATTTGGCATGACACACCTTTACCACAGATTGTAAAAAATGTCCTTAAGTTTTTACACTCAGGTAAACATACACATTTTATTCATTTCTGTGTTTGTTTTATTTTAAGAAGAGAAATCATATTTATTCTGCTAAAATTTGCTAGCTTTGTTGGTATAAGGACTGTGAACTTTCATACATTATTACTGTAATAAGGTTTTACCAACAATAAATTTTAAAATATTATATCATTTTAGATAGTTTCTCTCTCGATAAGAAGCTGTGTTGTTTTCTTTTGTTGGTGTATTAGCTTAGTTTATTTATTGATATCTCATTTAGTATTCTATAACTAAATTACATATTTGTACAGCAGGCAAACTTCATGATATTTTTATGTAGTCATAATTCTGACCTTACTTCCTTTTATGATGTTAATATCTGATGTCATATGTTTTAAAAAATTAAATGGATTTAATTTTAGATTGTGATCCCTTTGACTACCTAGTGAATGAACTTAAATGTGATGATAAATTGAAGGTAAGTATTTGTGTGGATATTTTGTCTGTTTAAAGCAACAAGTCACTGTAGAAGTGCTGTATATTTCTTTCTGTATGATTCTGTGATTCTGCATTGTAATCAGCTGTAAATATATTATTTTAAGGTCCAATTTTCAAAGAAAAAAAAGTACTGCCCATTTTAAGCTTACCTAAGCATGTATGTCTCAAATCTGAGCTGTTGTGATTGGCTAATGTCCATCTTCATAGAGCGTCTATCATGAGGCTAATGTCCATTGTCGTGTGTTTTCATCATCTGTAAATACCCAAAATGTTTTAGAACATCATCTCTTAAAAAGAACAAAACCTTTCTCTTAATTACATGTAGAATGATTAAATAGTACATGAATGTATAGTGTATGATCCATACATAATTATCTATATATGTGTTTTCAGACTTTACATCCTTCAGTTGTGGACTTCCTGAGAAAATGTTTGTTAGTAGACCCAAAACACAGGTACGACTATATCAGAATATGCCTCTTTAAGGCAAGTCACATTTTGTGTCTGTTTTGGTAATAACAAATGTGTTGTTGTGGATTTGTATAAGCTTAGAATAGTTAGATAACTATATTTTGAACTATAAAATAGATTTCTGTTTTAAATACAGATATACTAGTAGTGAAAACAAATTGTGAGGAATAGTTTTAATGAATTTTGAAGTTGTTTTGAAGTGGCATGTTCATTTTGTGCATGTGTGTTTATATTTTCAGACCAGCTCCATCAGAACTACTACATCATGAAGTGTTTACCTTATATAAACTAAAGAAGGTAGGATTTTATATTTTATTCTTTTTTCCAAAATGAAAAAATTTGGGGCCTTTTCTTTTTAAAAAATTGGAAAATTACCCGTTTTTTGTTTTAGGGGAAAGATTAAAGGAAAATACATAAAAAGGGAAAAAACACTCACAATTACCAGTGTTTTTGAAAAGGTTGTCTTAAACCCTGTAATAATTTATTGTATGAAATGACACTTGTATACTAACTAAAATCTTTATGTCCTTTTTAGATTTCTCCCAGTAATGGTTTTCATTTATTCACAACAAAACTAAGGTGTAAAGATTTGGAGCTTCCTACACTGGCAGATACTCAAAATGGTAATACCTCTCATAATATATATGTTACTGTCATAATTAATATGATTACATGCTATCATAATTTATATCATCGTTGGATACCCACGGTTGATTAACATAATCAACTGTGTGTAAAGTGAATCAAATTGTGTCTATATATATACAGCAACATGTGCATATCGACCAATGAAATCATGTTTAGCAAAATTTATATTCTTCGACAGCTAAGGTAAACAACTATCAGAAAGAAAATAGCAGCGCCCTTGGTGTAAATCTGTTTTATGTGTCTTGCTAATATAAAAGGCAAAACTATCCCCAAACTAAATTATTCCACAAGCAGAGTCTCCGCAATAGTAATATTTTTTCTAGAATTAACGTTTCACCAAACGTCGTATAGAACCAGCATTTTGATTGGTTTTAATCACCTCATTAAATCTTGGGGCAACCAATAAAAAGCTGGCTTTAACACACCTCTTATCAACACGAAAAATCCCATGTCTGATAAATATTAATGGTCTGCCGTGGGTATCCGATGATGAATTTATATGTTTACATGTTGTCATTATATATATATGTTTACATGCTGTCATAATTTATATGTTTACATGCTGTCATAATTTATATGTATACATGCTGTCATAATTTATATGTTTACATGCTGTCATAATTTATATGTTTACATGCTGTCATAATTTATATGTATACATGCTGTCATAATTTATATGTTTACATGCTGTCATAATTTATATGTTTACTGACTTATTTTAAAGGAGACACACATTATTATCTGACTAATTGTAAAGTTTCACTGTAACTATTTGAATATTTTCAGGTTACAACTGGGATCATCTGTCTGAGAGAAGTATGGAGGAAGTATATTATCTCTGGAGATTGGCAGGTGGGGATCTTGAAGCTGTCTTGAAAAAAGTAGGCATGATAAAAGCTAGACCTCCAATTACTATATTACCAAGGTAACTAAATAATTGTCTGATGAAATTTATTGTTTCGCAATTGTTCTGCTTTTTGGCATTAGGGAATGAGAAAAATAATAGTTGTTGGTCCTAACCATGGTTTTCACTTGGACATGAAATAGTACATAACCTTACATAAATAGTACATAACTATACATAAATAGTGCATAAGTATACATGTATAAGTAGTTCTTAGAAAAATGACTTTTTGAATACTGTAAAATTTCTGGTGCCTCAAATATACTTAATTACAGTTTGACCTTGGACAATGGAGAGGTTTTAGGTCAAGGTCGTGACAAAATGGAGTTACTAGATCATACTGTTATTTTACTGTCACAGGAACAGCTTAGACAGGTATGTTATCAGGACTGATATAGAAAAATAGGTTATCAAAACTTACATAATTTGAAATTCTGACTTTCTTAAAAACTAACAAGTTTCTGTCAGATAGATTGTCTCTGTTATAATTTAAGATCATGTAAAGTAAATAAATAAACAAAATAAATAAATCAACAACCTGTAACTTGGAAGCTAAATACAGTACTGACATTTAATTAATTAGAGATAAGACTAAGTGGAAGATTTGCAAGTTTTCAGTAGGTCATAACAGGTCATAAATAGTGTAAACTTTGCAACAGACATTTTGTCTTTGTGTAAAGTATCCGACACCAGCTTTCCATTGGTATGATTGAAAAAAAAGCAGTGTTTTTATTATAATTATGTAATAATGTGTATATTTCAGAGACTTGCTGACATAGATGAAAAGTCATTTTATCCCCTGCTAGAGGACGAGTAAGTATTGTTTAGCGTATTCAACACTAGTATATTGATTGTTTGGTTAATGTTCAACCAGTAATGATTTGAAAGTACAGATTCATATCTTCAACACTTTCGCAGCTGTAGATCCGAATCCTGCCAGCGACTTTCTATCCTTTTATGTGAGAAAGCTATCCAGCTAGGTTATGGAAAGACGATGTTTCTACTCTTGTATCAGCATGTGCTTGAAATAATTAACAAAAGGGCACCTAATGTTTCCCTCCACACTTTTTTTAATGTAAACATGTGGAACCCACACTTAAATTTAAGAAATAAAATAAAATTGCTAAGAAAATTAAAAACTTCATCATTAAAAAAATGATTAAAAAATTAATCTTGTAAAATTTATGTTTTTATGCTAAAGCATGGCATTTTGTAACAGCATATTTAAAGTTGTGTCATTGATACATGTATTAGCTGTAAAAATAAAATAGAAATTTGTATGCTATTTGACAATGTTTTTATTTTTCTGTTCTAGGCAGGAATTGAAGGAAGGCCTCTCAGCATCATCTAGTAATGTAGACATTGCTAATACAGCTAGTTTACCATTAATTATTAAAGAAAGAGACATAGAACATCAGGTATGGTTTATATATGCTTAATGTTCAGAACATTGGTGGTTCTTGTCAGGTGCCCTCTGGTGATTGAAATAATGCATGGAGGGGCACCTGAGATCTTCCTCCACCAGTAAAGTTGAAAGGCCACCATATGACCTCTACTGTGTTGGTGTGACATAAAACCCAACAAAACAAAAACTATGCTAAACACAAATATTTCTTCCTGAATATCTTTACACTTTCTCTTAAACCTTTTTACAAGTGTCAATAATTACAGGGTCTCTAGTAATCTAATTTCTCTCTACTTTTTCTAAAATGCTCCTAGTATTTTAGTTATTCATAATTTTAAGCTAGTTTTACTTGATATCTGGCAGTTATTCTGGTGCTCATTTGTTTACTTTTCTGTATGAAGAATATTCTTTTTGATGATTAAATTTTATTCATTTTGTTCAAAAGATATATTACATTGTTTCTATAGTAGGGTATTAATTTATAATAAAACAATACTTATGTGTATTTGTTCTTTTTCATGACTTAATATCATCTAATAGATCATTGCAACATGTTCGACTTCCTAGACATTTGAGACTACCTGATGTTTTTATTAGTTAAACCATGAATGTTATATCATAAATTTACGTCTGATAACAACAATTTGTATTTCAGTTTCACCGTGTGATCCTATATGAGCGCCTAATTAAAGGTTACCCTTACAAGAAAGCTGACATACTAAAGGAAGCCAGAGTAGACATACCACCTTTGTTTAGAAATATTGTGTGGGCAGCTATTCTTGATGTAGAGGTAAAAAAAAAGAATTTTTATATACATTAAAAGATCAAAGATATAATGATTATAGCATTGTACAGAGGCACAATCTGTATATAATTACTAAGGCATGAGAGCGGTACGCTGATCTTATTTTATATACAAATCTAGAACAGAAACTCAGTATTATTAGCTCGACTATTCGATAAGAATAAGTAGAGCTATTGTAGTCACCAGAGTGTCGGCGTCGGCGTAACCACTTATGTTAAAGTTTTTGTAATAGTTCAAATATTTTCAAAGTCCATTGACATATGGCTTTGAAACTTTGCACACTTGTTCAACATCATGACCCCAATCTGTAGACAGGAGGAGGTAACTGTATCAAGCATTTTGACAGAATTATGCCTCTTTTTCGACTTAGAATTTATGTTAAAGTTTTTGTAATAGTTCAAATATTTTCAAAGTCCATTAACATATAGCTTTGCAACTTTGCACACATGTTCACCATCATGACCCTACCTGTAGACACTAGGGGTAACTCTATGATGCATTTTGACAAAATAATGCCCCTTTTTAGCTCGACTATTCAATTAGAATAAGTAGAGCTATTGTAGTCACCCGAGCGTCGGCGTAACCACTTATGTTAAAGTTTTTGTAATAGTTCAAATATTTTCAAAGTCCATTGACATATGGCTTTGAAACTTTGCACACTTGTTCAACATCATGACCCCAACCTTTAGACAGGAGGAGGTAACTCTATCAAGCATTTCGACAGAATTATGCCCCTTTTTCAACTTAGAATTTATGTTAAAGTTTTTGTAATAGTTCAAATATTTTCAAAGTCCATTGACATATGGCTTTGAAACTTTGTACACTTGTTCACCATCATGACCCTAACCTGTAGACAGGAGGAGGTAACTCTATCAAGCATTTTGACAGAATTATGCCCCTTTTTCGACTTAGAATTTACGTTAAAATTTTTGTAATAGTTTAAATATTTTCAAAGTCCATCGACATATGACTTTGAAACTTTGCACACTTGTTCACCATCATGACCCCAACTGTAAACAGGAGGAGGTAATTGTATCAAGCATTTTTTTTACTATCAAGCACTAAGAATAGTCGAGCGTTGCTGTCCTACCGACAGCTCTTGTTCAGCTTAGAATTACATTTATTTACATATTCTATTAACTTTTTTTCATATTCTATTGATATCTGGCATTGATACAAGTTGAAGTTTTATACTCTTCTTTGAGAGCATAATAGGACTCTTGCCATGGCCTATAACTGTAACATGGATTTAAAGAAAAAAATTGCCCTTTTGTTAACTTTGAAAATTTTACATTATCAAGGTTCTTTTACTATCAAGCACTAAGAAAAGTCGAGCATTGCTGTCCTACGGACAGCACTTGTTTTACTTATACTCCCTTTTTGTGATTTTGAAAACCCTCATTTAATTGTTGTAAATGAGCTTTTTAAGTGCTTTTAGACTTCATAATGAGAGTTTGTTATTAGGAGCTTCTGTGCTATTTTATTTACTAGTGACTCTATGAGTAAATTGAGAGAGGGGTATAAGCAGCCAGATGATTAGTGATAAAGCTGTAATGTCTGAGAAAATGACTTGAAACTTGGTGAAGCTTTCACCTTATAACAAAAGGACTGTGGTCATATATCCTTACCAAAATAATTTTACTTTCTTTTCTTATTTTTCTTCCAGTAACTTTTAACAATAGTAAAGCATTGTCTCTTCTAACAACTATATTGTAAGTTATATTGTACAATTTATCAGAAATTCTATTTTTTCTCATGATTACTAGGGTGATATACAAGCACTGTATGATTCTATAGATAAAGAAACACCTACAGGAACTGATAGACAGGTAAGAATCACTGCTAATGTGAGGATGATGGAAACAGCTGTTGACTCATTTCTTGACAGAATTATAAATGTTACTTTATCTAAAAACTCTCTGTAGACTTCTCTTTTAAAATGTTGAATTGATTTGACTTGTTAAAGTTATCATTTTTTTCACAATTATATATTTTTGTAAGATAATCATGGAATCAAACAGGTCTGATGGCCAAAAGGATTGGCTTTGTTTACAGTCCTTTTTACATCAGAGCACTGCAGGATCCTTATGAACCTTTATCTTTTTGAACACTAATTCTAACATTGTTAAGTCTGTGACACATTCTTCAACTGTATGCCTATCATAAAATCCACAATAGTGAGGGCAAGTGTTTGGAAGTCAGCACCTTAACCACTCAGCAATGAAGGCCCAATTGTTCATCTTTGATTCAAGTACATGGGTTTACCTAGGAACTGACACACTATTGTTTCAGATTGCAGTTGATATACCTAGATGTCATCAGTATCATGAATTGTTGGCCTCTCCTACAGCACATGCTAAATTCAAGCGGGTCTTGAAGGCATGGGTAGTCAGTCATCCTGAGTATGTTTATTGGCAAGGGTTAGATTCACTTTGTGCTCCATTCCTTGCCCTTAATTTCAACAATGAAGGTAGGTTGTTTACAATGATACACTCACACTATTTTATAGTAGCACAATGAATGCACTAAGTATATTCTTATGTCCCGAATCAATAGATCAGTGAGCTAGGTCTGTCTGTCACAAAAGTTCAACCTTGACCATAACATGGAAGTCCTTCCACCTACAGGCTGCAAGTTTCACAGGTTCATGCACCTTGTGCCAGACCCACTAATAGGTCATTGGGTCAAATATCAAGGATTCACAAGGCACGGCATTTTTCCAAATGTAGCACTTGTTTTTTTTTATGTGTAGAATATTACCATATGTTATTTTTATTGCCATTAATTTAGCTGCACTTTTCAAAGAAAACATATTAAAGAGAAAAATGACAGTTATTTTGATTTTTATATTTTCAGCATTAGCATACGCTTGTATCAAAGCATTTATTCCAAAATATCTACACAAGTTTTTTCTCAAGGACAACTCAGCTGTTATACAAGGTATTTATTTTTAATGTAGATGTTAAATTATATATGCTATTTATTATTTTAAAACTTTTCAGTAGATTTTAAGCAGTATGCCACCACATTTGTATTGATTTTTATGAAAAGTTAAGAATTGTGTGAATAAGTAAATTTGTTTTTTGTTTAGTGTACAAGTAATGTCATAGGAAGGACCCTTTATTCTAAACTCTTCAAAAGTTAAATTGTTGTTAAGAGACAAGACATCAATGTAAACTTTAGCACAGTTTTGAGTATATGTATATAGTAGAATGAAGGGAGATACCTTACCTGTTTATTTCACATAGTAGTAATGATTGTTTTGTGTAATTTGCAGAGTACCTGGCAGTATTCAGTCATCTAATTGCCTTTCACGAGCCTGAGTTAAGCAATACAGGGAAAGGGTATTGGTTTTACAGTTTTGTATTATATTTATTTAATTTCTTTTATTTAAATTTTAAAACTTTGAATTTTTTCATTGAAAAATTATATGACTGGTTATAAAGGGTTTTTGTGAGCTTTTATAATTGACCACAAATTCCCGGGTTAAATTTTACAAAAACTTATTATTTTTTTTACCAAAAACCTATTCAGAATTTTTACAACAAACTTATAATTGATGAAAAATTAAAGTGACACCATAAATTTTCAGCAGCTGTGTATGTATAAACATCATTGTTATCCAATGAGAATTAACTTTACAAGCATTCAGCATTATAAATATTCATTAAGATTGTTTCTTTATCAATCGCATTATTTATGTTGTTACTTGAATGTGATGGTTAAATGAGTGTTTGTTTTTTGATGTCTAGATTTTCTGTGGGTTTATAATGTGTTCAAATCAGAATTTCTTAATGAAATTATCAAACAGGTGCTCTTTCATACCTATAGCAGATTGAGCTAAAACTTCTAAAAGTAGAATTAAATTTTTTACAAAGTCTTAAAACTTTTATGAAAAAATATGCTCCTAGGATAGCAAAAACTTGAAGAAATATTGTAAACTGTTAATTAGTACTAGGTTCATCATGTAAATATACTTCTTTCAGTTGTATGCCATTCCATGGTTTCTGACAATGTTTGCTCGTAAGTATTTGAAAAGTTAATGGTGATTTTATTAGTGACTTAAAGCTCAACCAAGCAGAAAATAAATCATCACTTTAATGAGTTGATTAACTAATTTGTTTTGTTTGTGTTTCTTCTTTAACTTAACATGGAGTATTTATTTAGAGCTTTGAAAATGTCACAATATAGGCAATTCTTGACCAAAACCAATACAGATATTTGGTTTGCAATGCTCAAGACAAGAATTCTTATTTTCTACTGTATCAAAAACCAGTATTCTGCCAGGTTTTAAGCAACTTCATGCAATCACATTTTAATTTATTATGTAAGTAGGTTTACATGTACTTGATAGTTTGTAATCTCTTTGTTAATGTCATATACTCCCGTATTAATTTAAGTATTGATACAAGTAAATTGTTTATTTTAAAGAAAGAATCTGATAAAAAATTGTAGTTATTTTGATGTTTATTATATATGTCTAAATTTTTTATTTGAAATATTTCAGATGTATTTCCTCTTAACAAGATAGTACATTTGTGGGATACCTTGTTGCTAGGCAACTCCTCATTTCCTCTATGTATTGGGGTAGCCATCTTGAAACAGTTTCATGACCGTCTGCTTTCCTATGGCTTTAATGAGTGCATTTTACTATTTTCTGATATGCCAGGTAGGTCATTCAAATAAACTTTTTTTTTACTTTTTAAATTAAATTTTCTAATCCAGCTTTGTTTAAACTGATATTTAATTTGTATAAATGGATAAATATTAAAATAAGTAACACGTAAAAATCAGTGAAATTTTAAATAATTCAGGACTGGATAAAAAAAAGATTTTTTATCTACTTTAATAATGTAAAATGCACTATGTATGACCAGTTTTAGATACATGTAGATGTCATTCTGGTAACAAGTGCCTTCCTACTTGGACAAAATATACCTTGATGAGAACTTCATTTTCACTTATTGAAATGTGACCTTGACCTTTATGGTCAAATTTACACCAAAAATAATTTCCATAGCCAGGTTATTTATTGACATATACTTCTTATACTGAAGACATGTTTCTGTTATATGTTATGAAAATATGACTTTCAGTGATAGACCTACAGCAGTGTGTGAAAGATTCCATACAGATATTCTGTAACACTCCAAAAAGTGCCACATACAGACAACATGCTCGGCAAACCAACAAGAAGCCTGAAACTAGACCAAATGTATCGTATTATTCCAGAGATTATAATGACCAGCCGTCAAATGATCTGGTAATCTCTTACAGATTAAATTTGATTTAAGTGTACAAAATCTACAGAGAGAGTTTGCTATATAGTATTTTGATATTTCTCTGTTACATGATTTTATCTTCGGTTTTATTCTTTTGAACTCTTCGAATTTTAAAGCCATCAATGAATATGTTTTAAAGATAGTGCATTGTAAAACTTTGGAAAGACTATACATGTACTAGCAAAAGTTATTGCAAGATTATATAAAAGAAATAGTAAAATTTTGCAATGATAGTAAAGAATCTATTTGCCATGAATGAAGTAGGTATATAGTTGTGGCATGGTCCCTCAATATCTAGTCTTCCTAATTATTCTGGTTGTCTTAATTTATGTGTAATAGTAAACAAAACTTTATGCAAAGTAGAAATTACAATGAATTGTGGTCCAACAGACAGATTTTGCGTCATTTGGTTTCTCAGAAACCCTGCAGACTTCACTCATGAATGACCTTTTTCACTGAGTAAATGACCTTTCATTTCAGTCAATGGAACCACTGAAGCTGGACGAGTTAAAATCAGAGAAATGTCCGCGTATATCTGCGGAAGACTTGATGGAGCTAGGAGAGTTTTCTGGTAATGGTAATTCTCGTAGTCCAACAAAGAAAAAGCCAAACACCAAACCTCTGTTACTTGTCATAGATGTGAGAAGCCCAGAGGAGTATCCTTTCCTGTTAAACTAAATATTGTTTTTTTTATAACACTGTTTTACCAAGGTATATCTAAAGTGTTCAGTGGTTAGTTTAATGTTAGTGATGCTAGTTTGAAGTTACCTTTAAAATTTTCATTTTATTTCGTACTTTTACAGTTATAACTCTTTTTTTTTCAATATTGACATTTGTTGTGTAATGTACAGGTAGATGCATAGAGGCTCTATTCAAATACCAGGTCCTGCATTACAGAAATACCATTGAAAACACATGTTTAATGTCACAAATTAGACATCTTAACTATGTATAGGTATAACAGGGGAACGAGTACCAGGAAGCATTTGAACATTCCATTTGAAACAGCTTTTTCACCAGAGGGTGATCTTGTAGCATGTCCTGCTGTGACAAAACTTAAAACAAAAACAGGTCAAAGGTCAAGGTGTATTTGGAAGTAGAGGAAGAAATGCTTCTAATGTAAGTTAAAGATTTATAATGCAGTAATTATTTAATCAAGTTTTCAATTATGCCATGTAAGACATCCATAACACTTCTCTATTTTATCTATTTTGATTTTCTTTAACACTGAAAGATAAATGTTTAAAATGTGATTTTGTAATTTAAAGTTAACCATGTGATGTCATCATCAGGTCATATAAACTGCTGTAGTACCCAATACTGATATGTCTAGATTATAACAAAATGAATTAAAATACTCAATTTTAACATTATACATGTATATATAAAATTTACCAACCCAAAAGAGAAACTATTTAAAGCAATATAACCAAAATTTTTCTTTTGTAAATGAAAGAATTTATACCTCAATTTTGTTTAATTTTTTTAGATTTATGTTTTTTAAATTTCCGTTTGGGAAAAGTTTGGGGGAGATTAGGTTACAACGTTTTGTGTACTTTTAAAATAAGGGGGTAGATTGTTTTTGAAGACAAAATTTGGAAAACTTACAAAACCACCACCAGATATATGAAAAAAGGGGAAAATATTTAAATTTTAAAAGATTTTAAAAAGTTAAGGGTATTTAAAAAAACTGGTTTTAAAGTGGCCCAAAATTTTTTTATGTTTAAATTAAAAAAACAAAAAAAATAGGTTTGGAGATTTCGGGGGTGTTTTCCCGATTGTTTTTCATTACCAGCTTATTTTTTTTTTTTTTAATTTAAAAATATTTAAAAAATTTTCAAATACAGTTGGGTGATTAAAAAAATTTCATGGAAATTATAAAGGGAAAAAAATATTAATTTTTATTGGAAAAAAACAAGTGGAAAATAAAAAGGCCCTTAAAATTTTACACCCGAAAATTTTTTTTTAAAAGATTTATTTTTCATTTTAAAAAAAAATAAAATATAAGATTAAAGGTTTCCCTGTTAAAATATTGGGGCACTTATTTTTTTTTCTTTTTATATGAATACTGAAAGAGTTTAAAAGGGATAAAAAGGAAAAGGTTAAAAAAGCTTAAAAGGTTTTAAAAATTTAAAATTAAATGGGGGGAAGGGAAAAAAAATTAAACTTTGTTTGGTTAATTTGTATAAAAGAAAAGTTAAAACTGCTAAATTTAAAAATATTGGGAGATTTGTTTTTTTTTCTGGGGGGAAAAAATGTACAGATACATTTTCCAAATAAAAATTTAAAAGGGAATTGAGATTTTTGGGAAAAAATGTTTATTTTTTTTATGTGTTTCTTTGTTTGGGGAAAATTTTTGTAGTTTAAGTACCTTTATAATTTAAAATGGGGAAACATATTTATGTTTGTAATTTTGAAAAACTTTGGGAATTTACTTTTTTCAATTTTGAATACATTAAAAATTCTAACGTAATTTATTTTTTGATGAATGTTACATATCTATTTTAATTGTTTTCAAAAAAAAAAAATTTTATCGGCACTGTGCAATAAATTTTAATACGGGATTTTTTTTATTTGGGTAAAAAATTTCAGTATTTTTTGATTTAAAAAATTTGAACTTTTATTTTTATTTGTGGTTTTTATTTTTTTTTTATTTTTCAATAAAAACATTGTATTCATGTTAAATTTGTTTGAAAAAGGATTTTTTTTTTTTGAAAAATTAAAACCTGCTAAATTCCCTAGTTTTTTTTTACCCCAAACCCAACCCCAAATTTAAAAAGGGGTTTAATAAATTCCCAAATTTAACCCCAAAAATTTAAATTGTTTTATTTTATATTTCAAAAAAATTTAAGGGCGTGTGCCCCAAACCCATTTTTATTTATTCCCATATGATTTTATTTTAAGTTTTCATATAACAAAAAAAAAAAAAATCAGGGATTTTATTTTTGAGCATGGGGATGGGGTTACATATTTTCCCGAAATTGTTTTTCAAAGATTTAATTTTTTTAAAATATCAGTAAAATTTTGATAATGCATTCAATTTTTAATTTTTTTCTGATCTGTTTAAAATTTTTCAACTTTTATTTGTGAATGGGTGTTGATTAATGAAGGAAAAATTGGGGTCCCTTTAAAAAAAAGGAGAGTAAAAATATTTTATTTTTTTAGCAAAAAACATTTAATTTTTTTACAAACGTGGCCTTAGAAACCCAAAAAAATTTGTCATAAAAAACCCCCTTAAAATTTTTTTAAAATTTTTTAAAAAAACCAACCCTAAAAATTTTTGATTTATGTTATAAAAATTTTTTGGGTTTGACAAAAGAAAAAGCCCAAAAATTTCCCCGATTCTTTAAAAAAATTTTACAAAAATTTTAAAAATTTTAAAAAAAGTATTTTAAAAGTTGGGCCCGGAAATTTATTCATATATGTTGTTCAAAATTTTTTGTTTTTGAAAAAAAGGAAAAACTAAAGGGTTTTGTTGAACCTCAGATAAAAAAAATTGAAAAAGGGGAAAAATATGGAAAATTTTAAATTTCAAGTTTTCACCTTTTGTGCGGGAAAAAATTAAAATTTTTGGGAGGGGGTTTTAATTCCTGTTAATTTCCCCGTACTTGGGAGCAAAGTTTTTTGTTTGCCAAGATAAAATGTCTAAAATTAAAAGTTTCATTTTCCTGTCCCCGTATATTCAGCGAAAGGGCTTGGGTGGAGCTTAAAGGGGAGTTTTTCTTGGGAAAAGGTAATTCTCGTTAAGGGCCAACAAAAAAAAAAGGGCCAAAAAAAACCAAACCCTTGTTACTTGTCCCTAGTTTGGAGAAAAACCCAGAGGGGGTATCCTTTCATTTTTTTTAACTAAACTATTTTTTTTTTATAACACTTTTTCCCAAGGTATATCTAAAGTGTTCAATGGTTAGTTTAATGTTAGTGATGCTAGTTTGAAGTTACCTTTAAAATTTTCATTTTATTTCGTACTTTTACAGTTTTAACTCATTTTTTTTCAATATTGACATTTGTTGTGTAATGTACAGGTAGATGCATAGAGGCTCTATTCAAATACCAGGTCCTGCATTACAGAAATACCATTGAAAACACATGTTTAATGTCACAAATTAGACATCTTAACTATGTATAGGTATAACAGGGGAACAGTACCAGGAAGTTTGAACATTCCATTTGAAACAGCTTTTTCACCAGAGGGTGATCTTGTAGCATGTCCTGCTGTGACAAACTTAAAACAAAACAGGTCAAAGGTCAAGGTTGTATTTGGAAGTAGAGGAAGAAATGCTTCTAATGTAAGTTAAAAATTTATAATGCAGTAATTATTTAATCAAGTTTTCAATTATGCCATGTAAGACATCCATAACATTCTCTATTTTATCTATTTTGATTTTCTTTAACACTGAAGATAAATGTTTAAAATGTGATTTTGTAATTTAAAGTTAACCTTGTGATGTCATCATCAGGTCATATAACTGCTGTAGTACCCAATGCTGATATGTCTAGATTATAACAAAATGAATTAAAATACTCAATTTTAATATTATACATGTATATATAAAATACCAAGCAAAAGAGAAACTATTTAATGCAATTTAACAAATAAAGACTTCTTGTAAGTGAAGAATTTATACCTCAAATAGTTAAATTTTCATAGCATTGATGTATTTTCATTTTCAGTTTGCGAATGAGTTGGTGAGATTAGGTTACAGACGTGTATGTACTCTACATAAAGGTATAGATGTGTTGAGACAAACTGGAATACTTACAGTACCACCACCAGATATATGAAAACAAGGGAAAATTATAAATAAAATGATTTAAAATGTATAGATATATGAAGACAAACTGGCTTTTAAAGTGGACCAAAGTTTTTACGTGAAATAAACAACAAAAATATAGGTAGGAGATTTCTTGGGGGTGTTTTACAGATTGTGTCATACCAGATGATATTTGAAGCTAGTAAACAATATCAAATAGAGTGGTGATTAAAGATACATGGAATTATAACAGAATAAAATATTGAATACTTATTGGAAAAGACAAGTGGAAAATAAAGGCTTAATTGTACACTGAATATTTTTTTACATAGATCATTATTCATTATAAAATGAATAGATATAAGATTAACAGGTGACCCTGATTAGTTGAGGTCACTTACTTTTTCTCTTGTATAGTGAATGCCTGGAAGAGTAAAATAAAAAGGAAGGTAAAGAGCTTAAGTTAAACTAAATTAAGTGGGGAAGAAATTAATTATTCAGTTTGGTTAATTTAAGTATATAGAAAAGTTATACTGCTAACATAACATATTGTAGATTTGTTGTTTTTCTGGGGGAAAAACACTGTACAGATACATTTTCCAAGATAAACATGAAATGGAGATATGAGATTTTGGTAAGAATGTTGATAAATATTATGTGTACTAGTTGAAATTTATGTAGTGAAGTACATTATATAATTAAAGTGGAACCAGCATATGATGTTTGTAATTTGAAAAACTGGAATCATTTATTTCATAGACATACATTAAAATAAATCGTCAATTTCATTTATGCATGAATTGTTACATATCTATTGTTAATTGTATCAAAAAAAAACTTCATCGGCACTGTGCAATAAATTGAATACGCATTATTTTATGGATAAAATTGCAGTATTTGGTGATAATAAAATTTGCAACATGCATTTTATTTGTGTTTTTATTTGTTTTATTTTCAATAAATCATTGTATTCATGTCAAGTTCGTTTGCAAAAAGGATTTTCATTTTGAAAAATAAAACCTGCTAAATCCATAGTTTTATTATACCCCACCTAACAAAGTTTAGAAGGATTAATATTCCTAAATTTAACCCAAAATTGAGTTGTTTCATTGCATATTTCAGCAATTTAAGACGTGTGCCAAGCCCATATTATTTAGTCCTATATGATCACTTTAAGTTTCATATAACAAAGAAAACAGAATCAGGAGCATTTATTTATGAGCATGGGGCATGTGATTACATATTTACAGAAATTGTTTACAAAGATCAATTTTAACATATCAGTATATTAGTATACATGCATTCAATTTCAATGTTTCTGATCTTTTACATTCTCAACTACATTGTGAATGCTGTTGATTAATAAAGGAAACGTGGATCCTTTAAAAAATGAGACTAAAAAATATTAATTTGTTAGCAAAAATCATCAATGTTTACATATGTGGTGCTTAGGAACAAGATTTGCCATAAAACCACTTAAAATTTATAAATTCACCAGCTCTATGATGATGTTATATTGGCTTTGACAGAATGCCAAATTGCAGATCATTTGAAAAATTAATTACAAAAATAAAATTGTAAAAAAGTATTTTAAAGTTGGCGGTATTCATGTCATATATGTTGTTCATATATAATGTTCTGAAAAAAGATTGAAAAATCTGGAACAGGTTGTTAAGTTAAACCTCAGATAATAAATATGATAAATGAATATATGACATTAAGTACAAGTTTTCACCTTAGTGCAGTAACAAATTAAAATTATGTAGGAGTTAATCCTGTTAATACAGTACTGCAGCAAAGTATTGTCGCAAGATAACTGTCTAGATAATGTACATTACAATTTGTACTGTTAAGATTCATTTTACTTTGACATACACTATAGTGACAAATATCTCAATAATTATCTCAAAGGTGACATACATTAACCCATAACTACTACTGGTGGTGACATACATTAACCCATAACTACTGCTGGTAGCTCATTTTTTTGTATTTTTATATTAAAATGATACAAAACTCAAATGATGATGACAATAAAGTTTTTGAATAATTATGTTAACAATATTAATTTCCTCTCCTAGAGCATAGATATATGGCATTACATAGCATTTTCTATCTATCCTTTGTAAAAGTTGTAGAAATAACTCTATGTCAGAAATAGCCAATTATTAAAATGTATACTGTAAAACTTTAATAATCTAATGAAATATTTTAATAAAATTTATCAAAGGTAAAATTATATTGGTTCCATAATCATATGATTGATTCTCGAAAGATGTATGTTATTTAACACACATAAATATTGCATATGTTCAGGAACAAAATGTACTGCTATTTTAGGTTGTGTTTCATCCATTTCAATAAGCAATGATCTATCTGGTTTATGTGTCTGTGTCATTTGCTTTTAAAACATTTTACTACCATATTTATTTCATACAAACATTTTGGAAGTTTAAAATTTGCAGCAGATATACTGTAAAGCTTTATACACATTAATACAGACTTACGGCCGATTTGACTGTACTACATGTACTGTACCGTATGCCGTATCATGACAACAATTAGAGTGCACGACGTGATTCATGTCCTAGTTAATGATATAAACACGAGGTGAGTGCATGTGGGGATAAAACATAAACAAACGAGTGATTGTTCAATATTTCTTTCATTTCCATCTTGACAATCAAATAAGCATGTTGCCTGTTTGGAGATCTATTCCTCGGTCACGATACGTGTTAAAAAGCGGAGTTTTTTCAGTTGTGTCAAAACCTGTTGAAGAATTTCCTGCTCGGTCTCAAGATTTCGGACATGTCACCAAAAGGGACAATGTTTTTATTCAGGGTTTTCAAGGCGAAGCGTATAATATTCCTGTGTCAGACGCTAGAAAAGTGATGAGCTTGGCTGCTGAATACCAACATCAAGGTCCAAGTGTACAAGGAACTCAAGACTATGCCTCTTATACCTTTAATAAACTTACACATGAAGCATTGTCTAAAGATGATATTCACTTACCTGTGCTAGAAGGACTTGACAGTCACGTGAGTCTAAACGGGTGCATGCAGAGTACTGTCCCTAAGCCCCTCAACTCAGAAAGTTCAATGTCAGGATATCAAAGTTATTTAAACATGCCTGGTGGTGGTGAAAAATTACTTGACAAATACATTTCAGGCAAAAGCCAATTTTGTCATCAATCAAGGCATTTTACAACTTCTTCCAGACAGTTTGTTAGCCAACAAGGTGCCCAGGACACAACGTTTATAGAAGACGAATTACTGCCTGACCCCACACCACAGGGAATACAAGGGGATAACTGTGTGCAGTTTCGATTATGGATGGAAAATTGTCAACGATACAACCTTCCAAACTGTGACGAACAGTTAGAGTCTATAAACACAGGGAGAAAAACTCTAGCACAGGTTTTTCAGGAGCAGCAAGAAATTATAAGACTTGTAGCTGAAAGTTACAAAAATGACCAGCGAAAGATGGTAAAACAAATGGACAGTGAAATAAATGCCCAAGGGCAGCAGGACTATTTTGGATACAGTTATGAATTTTCAACAGTAGACCCATGTCCACAAGGCCTACAAGGTGAGGACTGTGCTAATTATAAAGCCTGGGCTTACAATTGTCAGGCTTTTGGATTTGGCAATTGTAATGGGAAAGCACATGATATCAGGACTGGTAGACGGACATTACAAGATGTTTTTGACGAACAAGACCAAATGATTCGCAAAATTGTAGCTAATTTTCAACAGAAGCGGTCATACAGTACCAACCAAAAACCAGAGGTGGGTAAAGAAAGTTCAGGCACACACTCTGAACCAAACAACAATCAAAATTCTTCATCCCCACATAGCACTCTTCCTCATGATTTACAAAAGTTAAGTAAAAAAGATCAGTTAAAACAAGCTGTTAAACAATACGGTGGAACTGTTATTGTGTTCCATATAGGTATATCTCTAATATCACTTGGAGGCTTTTATCTTGCTGTGTCAAGGTAAGTTACATTTAACTTTAAATAAAAGAAGTAACTGTTAAACAAGCCATTTTCATGTGCCAAATTATTAAGGCAATTCATGATTTTGAGTTATTTAATAGAACACATAGGTTAGAATTTATCATTTCCCTAAGGTACCTATATAGTGATAAATATACCTGGTGCCCCCAATCAACAGATCATGTCAGGAATTTATCATTCATGAATCATGGGAATGTTGTGTGATACTGACATATTGACCTACTTTATAATACAGGTGAATACACAATACCTTCCTGCTGTATTGAAGTGGGACATAAACAAGTAGTAAATTAAGACAGGTTTAATTATATATTTAAATAATAAAACATAAAAGGGTTTATGGATTGATTGTTTTTAAACCAATGCATGTTGCTATATTTAAAGATTAATACTCAATTTTTAATGTTGAGTTTATGAACAAAAACTTATTTCATAAGTGTATTGAGATATTTCATTTTATGTTTACAGTGGTCTTGATGTGGTAGCTATTTTGTCAAAACTTGGTGTTGGCGAGGCAGTATTACAGTCAAAAATTGCGACAGGATCTACAACTTTTGTAATGGCATATGCTGTCCATAAAGTATTTGCACCAGTACGTATTGGCATCACATTAAGTTGTACACCATTCATCGTTGGATATTTACGACGGATTGGTATTCTCAAACCTCCAAAAATAACCAAATAAAAGACTATTCAGTGCTTTAAGATATTTAAGGAAATATTCAGACATTCTGCCAGATTACAATTTGTATTATAGAAAATTTAATGTATTGACAGCCTTGTTACTTTGTTTTGAAAGTTTTCTTATATGTTTGTGCCAGTTGTATTATGGGATCATCCGATGACTTTAAATTGGTTCAAATTTGTTGCAAGCACAACAAGAATGACAGTTTTTGCAAGACATAAACACTTTATTTTATAAAAGTAATGCCTTTTGTGCAATTATATTTAAGATAGTAAGACAGTTGCTGTAATACTATTGTTGATTTAAGTCAAATGATATACATGTAATTACTGGTATATTAAATTTTGAAGTATATTTATTATTTTATGTAACAGTGAAATATCTGCATCATAAATGTGGCTTGTTTATCAATAAATTGAAAAAAAATCTTGAATATTATTTGTTGTTTTTTTTTGTATGTCTATATCCCTTATCCCTTTTTGTATCTGGTTACCATGTAAGACTGCCCTGAATAAACAGAAAATTTTCACAGGAAATTTATGAGTTTTACAGAGGATAGATATGTAAGTACTGGTTGAAGAATATAGAAACACTGTTGTTAACAGTGTTTTATGCCCATATAGTCGCCACCTTGTCTGTCATCAAACTTTTGTTTGTCTGTTTAATTGGTTTAACAGCGCACAGACTCTGTGTAGGTCATATGGTGCCAAAACAAGAAAGATGATTTTGGCTAACCCAGGTGTTACAAACGTCGAAGCAACATTACCATGGGTCAGAGATGCATTGACTCCAGCTAGTTGCCTTTACAATCATGCAGGAATGAAAGGTGGCAGTAATTCTGATGCCTTAACCCTAAAAAGAAACCCCTCAACCACAAGAGGTCTTTCGAATAACTTGAAAAGTATTGAAGGAATTTGATTGAGGAAGTGCATTGTTCAAGAATCATAACACTACTTTGCTTAATTTTTAAATTAAATTTAAAATACCTGTCTGGAGTGTAACTTTCTAAACTATCTCTAGTATGTCAAAAGGACAATAATGCTGCATTGCTAAGTTTTTGAATTATCTCCCTTTATAATACTTTCCACTCTTGTTCAGAGGGTAATTTAAAAAGGATCATAGAAATGTGTTTAAAACTTAAAACAATGATAGATACCAGTGAGAGGAAATGAAATGTTCAGGAACCATATATCTACATGGCCCCTATTGATTTTGGAGTCACTAGGTCAAAGGTCAAGGTCACAGGGGCCTTAAATGTCGAATGGTTTCCGCTGATTATCTTTAAAACTATTTATCACAAAGTCTTCATACTGCACATACTGATTGGTCATAACCAGTAAATGACGCCTATTGATTTTGGGTAGCTAGGTCAAAGGTCAAGGTTACAGAGGCCTTAAATGTCAAAATGGTTTCTGCTGATTATCTTGAAAACTATTCATCATAAAGTCTCGTATTTCACATACTAATTGGTCATAACCAGTAATGACCCCTATTGATTTTGGGGTCACTAGGTCAAGGTCAAAGGAGGGGCCTTAAATGTTAGAATGGTTTCCACTAATTATCTTGAAAAATATTCATCACAAAGTTTTCATATTTCACATACCGATTGTTCAAAATCAGTAGATGACCCCAATTGATTTTGTGGTCACTAGGTCAAAGGTCACAGGGGCCTTTAATGTCAGAATAGTTTCCACTCATTACTTAATCCTTGAAACCTTTTCATCACAAAGTCTTCATATTTCACATATTGATTGGTCATAACCAGTTGATAATCCCTATTGATTTTTGGGTCACTAGGTGAAAGTCACAAGGGCCTTAAATGTCAGAATAAATTCCGCTCATTATCTTGGAAAACTATTCATCACAAAGTCTTCATATTTCACATACTGATTGTTTATAACCAGTTTATGACCCCTGTTGATTTTGGAGTCACTAGGTCAAAGGTCAAGGTCACAGGGGCCCTAAATGTCAGAATAGTTTTCGCTCATTATCTTGAAAAATATTCATCACAAAGTCTTCATATTTCACAAACTGATTGGTCATAACCAGTAAATGACCCCTATTGATTTTGGGGGCACTAAGTCAAAGGTCAAGGTCACTAGATCCTTGAATGTTAGTATGGTTTCCGCTCATTATCTTGAAAGCTATTTATTACAAAAATCTAGAAACAGAGTTATCCCTCGGAAGTATTTATCACAAAAAAATTAAAAGAGAATTGCAGACTCGGTTTGATTGAGCCTGTACAGGAGGGATAATGAAGAAGTGCAACATCCTCCACGCCCCTTAGCACCGGCTTGAGCGGTACTCAATTCTTAACACTCAATAGTGCTGGCATCAATGATCCCTAAGGACTAGAAAAATATAACAACACTGAAGTGAAGTACGGAAAGTCTTCATATTTCAAATAATGATTGGTCATAACTAGTAGATGACCCCTTTTGATTTTGGGTCAGTAGTTTAAAGGTCAAGGTCACAGGTACCATCTTGAAAACTATTTATCTCAAGGTCTAAATTATATTTCTTTTTTCCATAACTGAACATTTCCATGTACCCATTTATAACAAGTTTCTATAACAAAATTACCAATAATGTGAATCAAGGGCTAGAAAGGGGGGCATATGTGTCATTCGACATTTATTGTTGAGTTATTGCCCTTTGTTCATTTTCTAACATGCGTAATACGCTTGTCTAGAGTTTAACTTGGTCACTATAAGTTTGATTGACTCCAAATTTGGTATATTGTAGAATCCATCACAGAGTCCTCCATTTGATCTGTCAGTGTAAAACTTTTCCATGGTATTTTTAATTTTGATCATATAACAGTTTTATGAATGAATCCTGATGTAACATTGTTACAATCAGTTCAAATGCCACTAAAGTTTAAGTGTAAGTTTAATGTACATTGTAAGAGCAGTGTTTAAAAATAACCTATAATTAAGAAGAAAATGCATAAGTGACAGCTATACTGTTTACAAGGCAACACATCTGACCCGCGGAGTTCAAGTATATTTATAAGTCTTACTTACCGCCCTACACAGTCTCGTATCATATTATGCGTGTAACTTGAATTGTAATAATTTGGTTAATCACTTGCAGTTTTCACAAGTTAATCTATTAACGGACTGTGCTTGTATTATTAGAACTGTTTATCATGCTCAGATTGTAATATATCAATTAGTTATTATTGCTGTAGGGTAGGTTACTCTGTTAAGGCAATAATACTGACAAATATTGAATTATCTTCCTTTCCCTACCAGCTCGATACATTGTTGTTCAGTACCGTACTCAATGAAATTGGATCTCCTGACCAATACCTTGTCTTTTAAATTGTTTTAATATTGTCAGTTTTACAAACAAATCCACTTAATTCTAAAATACCCAGAAAAAATAAGTGTATCTGATAGCTCTGTAAATATTGAGTTTGTAAATGTAAAGTATCATGAACTTCAATACATTATACCAGTCTATATTTCATTCTCTCTGCCTGCAATATGCTAAACTTACTAAATAACGATGGGGTAGAAACCTCTAAAACCTCTGAGCAATACATACATGCCAAACATCTTTATTATGTGCCATACAGTTTCAGACAGAAGATCTGAATATAAGTCAACATAAAACAAGCAATTATCAAAGTATTGCAAGCAATCCATAAGTCCCCTACTGGTTAGAACCCCAGCAACTTTCTGAAGGGCCATTGGCCATGCGCTAATGTTTCAATTTTTCTCTTTTTTAAGAAAATTTGTTGGAAAAGTTCTTTAAAAGTGATCACAAAAAAAAGTTTTTATGAACAGGCAGACTGAAGGACACTTTTAAGTAAATTTTTTAAACATCCCTGTTACCAAAATATAACATTTTTAAAAGCAAAATTCTTAAAGAGGAGATAACTCTTGAAATAAAGATCCAAGATGTCATACATGATGTGAGTGTAACAAAGAACAATTAGTAATGAAGCTGTTAGTAATGAATGTTTATTTTGAATTTGAAGTAAAAGAAAGTTAAAAGAATGAATAAGAAAAATTCAAAGTTTAAGGAGGAGATAATTCTGGAAATAAGGATGCTAAACTTATAAACCTTGTCATATTATTATGATGTGGGAGTTTGATGTTAATCCTATAAGTAATGAAGAAGTTGGAGTAAAATATACCAATTTCTCGAAAAAAAATCTAAGTTCAAGGGGGACATAATTTTGGAAATAGTCTTGCTAGAGTATTGGACCTTCTTGCAAATGATTTAAGTGATAAAAAGAAACATATATATCATATGAAGTTTAAAGAAGATACATTAAGAAATAAAGAAGTTATTAAAAAAAATAATCTTATAAACCTAAAATCCCCTCCGGTAAACCGGTAGATGACTAATAAGTTTCTGCATGGGGGTTTGCCAATGTTGACCTTGGCAGGTACAAGTAGGCAGTGCTAAATACCTTATATCTATGAACAATTAAAGTCTGCGATACTCCTATATATTTACATAACTTATAAAGATTAAGTTTTTCTCTTTTGATTAAAACTAACAGTGTACTTTGAGAGATGTTTCTAAATTTTGGACTATCATGAAAAATATCAAAAGCTAAATGATGACATTTTGTGCTCATGTGAGGGGAAATAAAAACGATAACAAGACATAACTATTAAATACATCCACCAAGTCAAAATAATCAACTAGACCTGGTTCATATCAGTCCTGTAAAGTTTTACACAAGTCCAGAATGCCATTTTAGAGTCAAAAATGTGTGTGCAGACAGTCAAACAAGCAGATTCAAAAGTAAAGTTCTCCCCAATTAAAACTTTGTCCTATTAAAACTTTAAAATTGTCCGGACATAGACTTTATTAGGGAAAGAAAGGGCATTATCTCAAACACTTATACATGTACACGTATATAATCTGTAGGACAGGGTAAAAAAAGTACACAAAATTGATTCTCTAGAAAACATTTTTATTGTCTACAATTCTGTGAAAACAAATATTGAGCAAATAAAAATAAATAAATAATTTATGTTTATATAAAAGCAAGTCAAATTTGGCTGATGACTGAACAAGAAAGCTGTGTATTGCTTCAATACGAAGATGACATGTTAACATTGTACGGTGATCATCAGTAGGTACTGATTAATGTGTATCTCAATATGAGAGAAAGAAAACATAATATACTATAATAGTAGTGTAACAATATAACAGTAAACCAGCATATTGCGATACAGTAACGGCCTATACAAAACATGGTTCAGAACAGTACTACAATATTTGATAAAAGTATACAATTTAAATTTGTGTATGCACAAACATATCAATACTTACTGCTTTAAAATAAACCTTTTAAGAATATATAAATTATTAAATAACATAATTCTTTTTTTTTTAGCTTTAAAATTTCCAATATAAACAATATCTTTATCATATATTGTGTATCGCAATATGGGTTTGACTGAATTGTTGCACCCCCTGCAACAAAATATAACAATAAACAATAAAACATAATAGTTTGTTGCACAACCTACAGAACTTCCACTAAATGCTCAGAGATACCCCCATTTTCTTTCCATCAATACATGCACAATATGACAGAATTGTTTATAGATTATACAAGCAATTTAACTAAAATTGATTTAATTTGATAGAAAGAGGGTGTTAACTATCATTAAGTTTAAAATATTCATAATATACATTATTTAAAAAAGCTTTCATTGAAAAAGAAGTTTTATAAGTGAGAATATCCAAGAGTAAAAATGATATAAAACCATTACTCTATTTCATTTGTTTGGGGTCTATTTCATTTGTTTGGGGTCTTACATGATCATATTATAAATTTGCTAAAAATGCAATTTATTGCTCACCTTTGTGAAGACTGTAACTACTTTCATCTCCAATGTTGCTTGGTCAAAGTTTAACTTAATGGAAAAAAGTGGGAATGGGGAAAAGAGGGGAAAAATCTAATTTTAACTCTTGAACTTAGTGACTACAACCTCCAAACAAAACAGGAAAAAGTTCTTTCAAAATACCTAAAAATATTCCAAGAATAGAAGGAAAATCTGCTTTGAGTGTGGTGATCTTCACCCCTGTGAAAGAAGATATGTCAATGCAAAGTACCTAAAACCCAAATATCAAATATATTGGTCAATAAATGAAGACATTATAAAGAAAAGTCGAATCTATCTCTAACCTTGGTGATTTTAATTAATTTTAAAGTTCAATGTAAAACAAATGTGAAGTACCCATATACAAAATGTATAAAACATGGGTTTATAAATAATGGCTCAATGATTTGAACAAACTTGGTAGAGGTCAAAAGATAATGCTAGAAGATTTTATATTAAAGATTCAACTTTATGATTTTATTTTAGCTCCCCGAGACCCACATATTCAATCAACTAACACCATTTTACAACTTGACCACATTTTCGTTAAAGGAACACAAAAATTCACAGTTTCAGAGAAATGTCATTGACAGCCATGGATCCTTAAAGATAACAACTATATAAAATCATCAACAAAGATAAAAGGAAACATAATTATAATTTAGAAAATCACTTTCTAAAAATGAAAGGGAACACTATTGAGACAATGCAATAAAATGCCTAAAAGCAAAAAGTCATGCAAAAATAAGAAAACAAAAACTAAATTTTTTAAGGGTAAAAAATGCTAAATTTTGTATTAATTTTTTTTATTTCAGTTACTCTTGGCTTTAAAAATCACAATACATAATAATTGAATGTATGTTATTAAATAGCTATTCGCAACAGAATTTCATATAAAACTTCTATTCTATTATAAGCATCAATAATATTGACGTCATATAACATGTAAGCATTCGTTTTTTATACTGTGCATATATTGTGTAATAATGCACTTGATTGGCCTGTTTGATAGGGGAATAGTGTGAAACGTGTAAGAATGTTCCATATACTGTGAAAAATACAGCGATAACAATAACAAGAGGGCCATGATGGCCCTGAGGTCGCTCACCTGTATATAGGCCCCCGGAGCGGGGCCAGTTTAAACCCCAGGGCTTTTATTTGAGCAAACTTGGAAGGACACCCATTATGAAGATGTTTCATGCTAAACATCTAAGCTCTAGCTCATTGGGCTTTTTAAAAGAAGATTTTTTTTAAGTTTTTACTATACACATATAGTTAAAAACAATGACGCCCTGGGGCCGGGCCAGTTTTGACCCCAGGGCATTTATTTGAACAAACTTTGTAGACACTTATTAGAAGATGTTTCATGCTTAATATCTAAACTCTAGCTATTTGGGTTTTTTCAAAGAAGATTTTAAGTTTTTGCTATACACATATAAAGAAAATCAATGACCCCCAGGGCGGGGCCAATTTTGACCCCAGGTCTTTTATTTGAACAAACTTTGTAGACCCTCACTAAAAGATGTTTCATGCTTAATATCTTAACTCTAGCTATTTGGGTTTTTTCAAAGAAGATTTTTTAAGTTTTTGCAATACACATATAAGGAAAATCAATGACCCCCGGGCCGTGCCAATTTTGACCCCAGGGCTTTTATTTGAACAAACATGGTATACACTTATTAGAACATGTTTGATGCTAAATATCTTAGCTCTAACTCTTTGAGTTCTTTAAAAGAAGATTTTTTTAAGTTTTTACTATATGCATATAGGGAAAATCAATGACCCCCGGGGCGGGGCCAATTTTGACCCCAGGGCTTTTATTTGAACAAAAATCAATGACCCCCTGGGGCGGGGCCAATTTTGACCCCAGGGCTTTTATTTGAACAAACTTGGTAGACATTTATTAGAACATGTTTCATGCTAAATATATTAGCTCTAACTCTTTTGGTTCTTTAAAAGAAGATTTTTTAAGTTTTTACTATATGCATATAGGGAAAATCAATGACACCCTGGGGCGGGGCCAATTTTGACCCAAGGGCTTTTATTTGAACAAACTTGGTAGACACTTATTAGAACATGTTTCATGCTAAATATCTTAGCAATAGCTCTTTGAGTTCTTTAAAAGAAGATTTTTTAAGTTTTTACTATATGCATATAGGGAAAATCAATGACCCCCCGGGGCGGGGCCAATTTTGACCCCAGGGCTTTTATTTGAACAAACTTGGTAGACACTCAATAGAAGATGTTTCATGCCAAATATCTAAGCTCTAGCTCTTATGGTTTTTTAAAAGAAGATATTTAAAGTTTTTTCTTTCGGTTGCCATGGCAACCAGAGTTCTGCATGGAATTAAATTCTTTGAACACTTTTTAAAGGTGACCACCAAAGGAACATTCCTGTGAAGTTTGGATGAAATTGGCTTAGTGGTTTATGAGGAGATGTCATTTAAAGTAAAAGTTTACGGACGGACGCCGGACGGACGGACGCCGGACGAAAAGCGATCACAAAAGCTCACCCTGTCACTTTGTGACAGGTGAGCTAAAAACAAATGAAGTCTAAATAAAGAATCACAGACATTGGATATTTGACAGCAAGTAAACATGTGGGGCTGCTATTTATTGCGGAGTGATAAATAATTTGTTATTCCTAATGCACCACCTAGCCCAAATCTAACAAAATTATCACCAACTAATGGTCCCATAGCAAAAAGTCCCTGTTCCTGGATGCATTGATATGAATAAGGATCAATATCAATAGGATTGTGTTTGCTTTCTATTGGATATTTTGGCATTACACCAATACTTCGACCTCCACTGGGTAAAAAACTGAGATCTGGTCGTGAACCAATAAGAATAGCTACATGTGAAATGTCTAATGAATTTATTTCAACAGAAGAAGCTTGATGAGGTTTAAGTAGAACTTTCTTATCATCTTTGATTTCTAGGACAGAGTGCTTTGACATAGGCTTATAGTATGGATTCTTCTTTGTGCCTTTCATCAACTGATGTACTTCGTGATATTCTGGATACATGTTATGAGGTAGTTTTTTCAGGATTTGAGAAGAATCATTGGCTCCTCTTCTGAATGCATGAAGCACAGGCACTTGGTTTTGCACAGCCATAAGAATGGCGTCTGCTGCACTAAGCCCCGCCCCCACAACCAGCATAGGGTCTGGGCAAGTTTTGAGTTGTTCTTTTTTTATCACAGATTCAAAGTCATGTAGAGAATGACTCACAATCGGTAAATTCTCACCAACCACTCCAAGTTTGTTAGGTATATCAAAAGTTCCAGTTGCTATGACGACAGAGAGACAGGATATGCAGAAGTCTTCTCGATCTACCTCCTCTGTCCCATCACCATGGAAACTGTTTACCAACTTGTAACCTCTGACCTCCCAGAAGTATGGATGTTTTGTCATACTTGGACAGCATGGTTCAGTCTCACCATTTTCACAGTCAACAACCTTCTTATTCCTGTACACTTTTCTAACGGAGGTCACAGTGTAATTGTTATGGAAATTCTTCTTTAAATTCTTTTCTTCAACAAAAGCAGTGTAATAATTACAGACATCTGTTATAGTGGCCCGGTTCATGCAAGGCTCTATCTGATCTTCATGTCTACAAAAAAAATAATATATATTTCAATAAAACTTTAACCCAACAAAAAGCATAAATTTAAAAGTGCCAGCGTTTATTAAAAGTGGTTTTATTTGGGTTTTTGCTCACCCCTATGGTAATTATTCTTGTGCCAAGGGTAGATAAAACATACACACAAGTTGTGTTTGAAACATCAAATATATTTTCTAATGAAGTTTAAAGAAATCTAGGGTATTGTTGCCATGGAGACCTGTGTTATGTATTGATTTCTTTATAAAAATATATAATAAAGAAAGTATATGTTGCTTAAAATCATGCTGGTTGAATAATTAAACAAGAGGGATCAGTGATCACATGTGTCGCCTCATGATGGCCAATTTCATGTTGGGACAAGTTTTGTGACAGACGGACAGACAGACAGACAGTGCACAACTAGACTTGGTACTGATCATTCCTGTAAAGTTTGGATAAAATTGCACCAGTAGTTTATGAGGAGTAGTCCGGACAAGCTTTTGTGTATCTGGCAACACACAGAAAAAAAACCTTTTTATCAAAGGGCCATAACTCGGCCAAAAATCATTCAACCAGAAAACCCTGACATTATGCACAACTAGACTTGGTACTGATCATTCCTGTAAAGTTTGGATGAAATTGCACCAGTAGTTTATGAGGAGTAGTCCTGACAAGTTTTGTGACGGACGGACAGACAGACAGACGGACAGACAGATGACAGAGAAGTGATCCCTATTGTGCCACTACTCCATAGAGGCAACACAAAAAATACAGTATCTGCATCAACTTCCTAACCTACAAACAAAATAGTAACAAGTAAAGAGCCAGGCCAGGCACATCAGTGCAGTCTGACCAGAATTTATACTGTTGGTAAAGGCTCATTTTTCACATTCTGATATTGAAGTCCCTTAAAACTTTGAACAGACTGTTCCAAAATCAAAGCTACGTTAGTTTGTTAGAAAAAAATGAAAAGATACAGATTGGGGGGCTTAAATACAGTTGTTGTAAGGAATCTTACCTTTTCTGTTTAGATTGCCAGTCTTTAAATGGCATGTCAGGTAACTCCATCCAGCTACTCAAACTTAATGTTTGCATACTGCCATCCATTTTCTAGAAATACATTCATTAAAACATGTTAAAATGCAAATATGTGCAAATATGTGAAAAATGTTAATGAAATATGTAAATTTAATATTCAATATTTTTTTTCAAATCTAAACATGCAATAATGTAATAACAATTTTTTGTGATGTCTACCAGGAATATTTTCTATCAAAACAGAAACAAACAGTCATAAACCTGATTTCCCAGACTTGATGAGTTACAGTATGGTGTGTGGTGGTGGTGAGGGGAAAGGAAGGGGAGTTAATAAAATGTAATGTCAACTCTTATATAGCTAGCTGGCAGCAACAGATTCTACCCATGCCACCAAGACCAGACATTTGATCACAGTCTGCACTATGCAGAAACTGGAGAGAATACAATCCTTCACTGTTATTGTCTTCAATACAAATGAGGAACACTATTACTCAAATTATACAGGGATATGAGATTAACACCAAGGCAACATCTGTCAGCCACCAAAAAAACAGTGTTCAAATATATACAAATATACAATACAATACAATTTATTTAAAATTATTTTTCTTTACTTTTCATACATAAAAATATAGTACCTGCCAAGAGCCACCTGGTTTCTCTCTCCCAAGCACCATGTGATTTATCTTATGCTCTGGTTCATGACGCCATTCAAGAAGAGAAAAATTATCTCCCCCTAGATCAGCATCTGGATGACAGAGGGAGTCAAATAGAACAGCCACTGGGTTAGACGATCTTCCCTCTAAACCTTCACACAGTGATTCAAGCTCCTACAAATATATAGTATCAACTTTTATTGATATTTAAATTTAGAATTATCAAAAAGATATACAGTAATTCTTATCACACTGTTTGACACCAGTGAGTTATAGAATTATTGTCATTTAAAATTACATGTATAGCAATGAAGGATAAAGGATAAAGATTTTCTTAATCTGGAGGTGTGTGACTAATTAAATGTATGTCAGGGAATCTTGTAGACAGACAATAGCTCATCTCAAAATAATCTGCTCTGTTCAGTTAAAAAAAATTCTTTTAGTGACTATGGCAACCAAAATTTTGACTTCTTTGAAGAGGATCACTTTACTGCCTGGTGAAGCAATGACAAATCAACCATGATTACCTTGAGCTTGTTGTATTCTTGTTAACAAACCATTAATGTTTTATGATCACAGTATAACCGAGATAAATTCATTTAAATATTTAAACTATTCACTGTTGAAGATATTCAAGCTCGTTAAACAGTTTTTCGTAATACTTTCTTATGCTAATGATCTCCAAATTAAGCAATAATTTTCAACCATTGAAAACTTGTGTCAATATAAATTTACTAACAGCAATAAAAATGTCAAGGTAATAAAGATTTAAGAAAACTGATATGCGGTAAGATTCTTATATTTTGACAACTTCATTTGATTAAAGCTGTAATGTAAACATTGGAAATTATAAATCAAACAAAGAAATTGGGTTTCTATGTAAACATGATTTGGGTAAATCTTGTCAAAACTTAACAAGGAATGCTGGCTGCGTAAGTCAAACTGCCATTGTTTCCATGAGCAAGAAACTTGACACACATTGATTAGTACTAATTGGTGCTAGGAACAAAACTTTGTGTTTGTCTATTAGCTTACTTGTACTTTAATTTTTAAATATTAAAAATTTTAACATTTCGTTTAGAAAAATGCATATTTTAGGTCAATGTTTTTGAAACTCTTTACCTATACAGAAATGTGGGTAATTCTTTGGAAACAAATTTCTTTAATATGTAAAACTTGGGTGACCCAGTTCTTAAATGTGTTCTAGATAGATAATTTGTCGAGTTTATTTTCAAGGACAGTCCTTTTTTTCATTTGACCTAACAGGCAAAAGATTATCAGAAGGATGTTTGTCTTTTTGATAATATTCTATAAATATAATTATTCTCAAAGATAACTTGTTAAATATATAGTGTTATCAGTGACACTGAATTATAGAATTTTGAATGATAAAATTTTCTATGTATATTTCTAAAGTACATTGTACAATTATAACATTACATTTATAACATGAAATAATCAATACTAGCACCATGAAATTAACAATTAATCTGATTGTGACAAGGGAATCTACTTATAAGAAGGGCAGACACAGATTAGCCGGCACATCTGATCATAGTCTGCATTGTTCACTATTCAGTCCGTACTTATCTTGAAATTTTCTCTGAAATATGATGACTGGTTTTGTCCAGATTGAACATTGGACAAGTCCATTTAAGATATTTAGTTGGGTAAGTATAATTATAAGTGACTCTTACATGCTGCATGTCCCCTGACTATCACATGTATGCACATATGCTATATTTCATTAAATTAGAATGTACATATTATAACAATTGTCACTTTTGTGTATATAACATCATATTATACATTTTAATTAAAATATCTAATTAACAGTTGTTTAATTAAATGTTTCAGCCATTGAGAGTGTCATCATCTGTTCATGAATATATAGTTTCTTGTTTGTTACGAAAGTAAGTATACTGCAAGATTACATCTGCTATTTAAAGACATCAGGTGCCCCTCTGTGCTATATTTCAGGCATGAGTGGGCACCTCAGTAGAAACATTGAAGTTCAGTGAGCTAGCTGGCCGGAATCGAACCCACAGCACTGACAGGTGTGGTTTAAGCCATCATCCTTCACCATTCAGCAACAGGACCCCATCAAATTTTTCAAATGATTCATCATATTTTCATGTTGGAAATCATTTTTTGTCCAATAAGATGCAGTTTATAAAAAAAAAATCATAACACATTTACTTTGATAAAATCGGCAAACTATTAATCAGTCTAGTAAATCGACTGTTTATAAAAATAAAATATTATAAAAATAATTAAAAACACTAAATTGGTTTATTTCAAGTTAGTGTTAATAAGTAAGCATTTATAAAATAAAATTGCTTGAACAGCTGCACTGTTCTTGACCAGTTTAACACTCACCAGACCTAAACCCAACTTTTGTTTCAAACAATTGCAAAAAGGCAATCAGAATAAACTCTAGAAATATATGACATGAGTCTTACCTGATCTACAATAGAACCATTCTGACCACATTTCTTTAATTTTTCTGCCAATATCTGGTTTGAATGTGGTTTCCCATTATAATATGGTTTATTTCCAGACAAAAAGTAAGATAAACAAATACCAGACGGCCCATTTCCTGAAAAAATAGATGAAAATACAACCAATTAACAGGAGGAGTTCAGATTACACATTTATATCTATAATACATAAATAGAACATTTTAATATTTAATTGTAATCAATAAATACTTGTTCCTGAGACCCAATGAGGTCATTCTTAGAATTATTGAAAACGTTATCATCAAGTTAACCTTTCCTTTATTTATCTCAGTGATATTGACCTGGACATGTCAAAACCTTGATTGCCACTTCAGATAAAGTTGACATAATTTTCTTCAAGTCATCTCCACATCATAGTCATCCAGAAATAAACATTTAGGTACATGGAGTGGCTATATTATCTTGATTTTGTTTGTTTTTTACTTCAAGGGATTCAAAGGGAGTTATTTTGCCAGGACAGGACTGGCAATATTTTTTAAAGTTGAAAAATTCAAAACATACCTTTCTACAAGTTAGAAAAAAAATTGTATTGTAGACTCTGTTGTAAAAAATAAAGTGATTTTAAATTCAGTCAAGGTATAATACATGTAATGGTTAAATTACCCATTAGCTTTGAATAACTACCATAAGATTTCAAACTGTTGTACTGTAACTAATGTTAAAAGGGCTTTATTAATTATTGATCTATTTCCCACGTACTTTCATTCATTCACTATTTCATTAATCTACTATAGGTGCTCAGCATGGGGCATTATTCAGTACTTTAAATCCAGTATCGTACTATTCTATACTATTTTACCTTTGACCATTTTAAATCTCTTCAATAATAGAAACATGACACTTTTGTGAATGAATGAAAATATTTTAACATCGCAACACTTTAACCTCAATACCAACAAAGCTAATTTATTACGGTAATTTAAGTATCAAAATACATTATCATAGTAAAATATGTAGGTAGGATGACATGGCAGTTTTAACTATAGTTGAATTTTTACTACTAGAATAGTTGAATAACCAATATTTTATGTGCTAATTTGTGTACTAGATTAAAACAAGGACACTCTACTAATTAGAACGCTTTACAAGTCTTTTATCATTTTTACAATGCAAATGGTGTAATACTGTCACTATTTTAGAATTTATTCTATTAATATAAATTTTGGCACTGAAAATAGAACACGTTATACATTATATGAAAGGCTATACATTATAAACGAGACGTTTATTTTGGGTAAACCATATCCACTTACCTATAATCACAACATCGGTACAGAGTTTGCTGTTAGTGCATTGAGATGGCATTTTCAAAATATTAAGCAATATTTTCTTGGTTATAAAAAGGAATTAGGCTGTGAAATTTTCCAATTGTTATTCTTCACAAGGATTGAAACTCTTTTACACCAGTGAGGGTTCTGTATGGAATACCCTTCCTCAGGAAGATTTGGGTACAAGCGTACCACCAGAATACACAATCCTTTTTCTCATGTTTCAATAGTCTCTAGCCACAGCAAACCATCTGTAATAAACAGAAAATGTGATTAGATGCTTAATCAATCAAGTTTAACATAACAACATCAAATATTTAAACTTTCAATCAAACTCCCATACAGTATAATGTAAGTGAAGCCTATAACTGCATATATATTTCATGTCTAATTTCATCAATAGCAACTACTGTTTAAAGGCCCATTATGCCCATAAATGATTTTATTTTTCGAAAGCTTTATAATTTTGGTGTACTTTTATAGTATCCAAAAAGTTACTCATTGGTCAATTACTTGAACTGTTAATAGAAAAAGTTACTCATTGGTCAATTACTTGAACTGTTAATAGCAAATTAGTATTTTCTATGGTAGTCAAAATATTACTTTTTTTACATTTTGCAACTTTTATGAGGATAATTTTTACATTTATCACTAATTTCTTCAGGTAACAAGCATCAGGAGTAACATTCTTATGTAAAAGATTATACATATAAAAATTAAATAGACTATTTATGTAAATGTATAAACATGAGGAAAGAAAAATTAAAATTTGAAATTATTAAATGCTTGAAAATGATTTATATTGATTCAGTAATTTAATCTCAAGTACATGATTGTACATGTATGTTATTTCATTAAAGTCATGACTGTAAAGTTAAAGTTATATGTACATGAAACAAGATTTATAAAACAGCAGACTCAGGGATTAAAGTAATCATTTTTTTATTTATTTATAATATGATTTTAATTCAAATCACTGGTAAAGTGAATATGGTTGATTGTTGATTTATTTAAAAAAAAAAATTAAAATAAGTTCTGTCTGATTTAATATGTTAAAAAAAAGTATATTTCATTTTGTATTGTACGAAATAGCTAAAAGTAAATAGACTTTTAAAATTATTTTTGATCTAATGGAGATATCTGGTTTCAAACTTTATAATAAGCTAAGTTTGTTTGTAAGTGGCAAAAAAATATTAACAAACACTTTTACGTTTCAAGTTACAGAGTAAAATATTAACTATGGAAAACTGTGTATATAGCAGAAGATAATTTAAATGTTATTTTAACATTCAATCCATGTAGTCTAAGTTAAACAGCAAATCACACAAAGATGATTACAACAAATTCAAGAAAATCATAACTTACACATTTATTTCAAATCTTAAAATTTGCAAAAATTAACACTGAAAATTAATACAATCAAGTTTAATCATAACTATTGAAATAAATTTACCTTACAAATCCAAGTCCTCTACTATAGTAAACTAATAATACTTCAAGTACAATCAGCTAACAAATTATATAGATGTATATATTCACTAGCAATGGGCAGACTGAATATTATCTGGAACATAGCTGCAACTATCAACTGACTTAAATACCATACAGCTGTCCCAATTCTTGACTTTTTTTTAATATGAAGGCCAAGTATATGTAAATATTGGTTAAGTATGGTAGCTAAGTTATTTTGGACAGCGTGATATGTGAATGTGAAATAGATTATCCGTGTTAAACTGACCGTATCACCAAGGTCAATGTTGAAGTTATTTTTCTCATTAAATAAATGTCTAAATTTGTACTGGCCAATTTAATCTTAACCTTTTACCTGCTCAATTTGCATAATGGATTTGTCCGACTGGTGATATAAAATTTGGAACAGTTCATTCAAAGTTGAAGGATTCAATATCAAAATACAAAGGCTGGTCTGATTCTAATCACAAAGGCTAATTTGCAATAAAGAAAAAAAATTAATATACTTAATTTTCAATTCCTACAGTACAAGCTTTAATAAAAGATGTGGGCTTATAATGGTTACTAAAGGAATTTAAACATAGCTATTAAAAGGATGTTTTAGCTGCATCCATGACTATTTCATGATATTTTTTTTTCAAAGCAAGTTGGAACTTATCATATCTTAAGAAGAATTTCTTGCAATTTTTATTTCACTGAAAATAAAAATAAAATCATTAAAATAGTTTACCTGTGTATTTAATTTGAATCAAATGGTTTTATAAGAATTATAATTCTGTATAATTTCTGTAAACTTTTATGGGGATTCTATGATTACCTCAAATATGAACAACTGTTATACATTAATTGTTTAACAGACTTTTGTTTTCAAATGTTTGATATAAATGCCTGTGAAATGTAAAATCAATGATGCTGTATTTGATGAATATTTTTTTTCATATTATAAAATATCATTTATTTCATCACAGCAAAATATTTTATATATGAGATAAAGTTTCATTTAAATTAAACTAAAGTTTCCTTATACTAAAGAAACTAGAACTGCCACTATCCTGGCGTGAATACCCCCGCATACCACTTTGTCAGAATCAACAGTGGCCATTTAGAGCTCAAGGACAACCTCCCTGCCAAATCTGAGGTTACTAAGCCAGTGCATTGCTAAGTTATGTATTCTACATGCTTCAAATGTGAAAATGTCAAAATCAATACATTGCAGACAAGACATTCTTTAGCAATTGAGAAGAAAAGTTGTTTATTTGTCAAGGTCCGGTGACCTTGACCTTTGACCCAGTGACCACAAAAATCAATAGGGGTCACCTTATAGTCATGATCAACATCCATGCCAAATATGAAGACTGTGGGTCAAAGGAATCTTAAGTTAATGGGTGGACAAACTTTTTGAAGTCAAAGTCCCTATGAACTTGACTTTTGATCCAGTGACCACAAACTTTTTGAAGTCAAAGTCCCTGTGACCTTGACCTTTGACCTGGTGACCTCAAAATCAATAGGGGTCATCTACTAATCATGACTAACCTCCATGCCAAATATGAAGACTGTGGGTCAAAGGAATCTTAATATATAGGTAGGACAAGCTTTTTGAAGTCAAGGCCCCTGTGACCTTGACCTTTGACCTGGTGACCTCAAAGTCAATAGGGGTCATCTACTAATCATGACTAACCTCCATGCCAAATATGAAGACTGTGGGTCAAAGCAATCTTAAGTTATTGGGCGGACAAGCTTTTTGAAGTCAAGGCCCCTGTGACCTTGACCTTTGACCTGGTGACCTCAAAGTCAATAGGGGTCATCTACTAATCATGACTAACCTCCATGCCAAATATGAAGACTGTGGGTCAAAGGAATCTAAAGTTATTGGGCGGACAAGCTTTTTGAAGTCAAGGCCCCTGTGACCTTGACCTTTGACCAGGTGACCTCAAAATCAATAGGGGTCATCTACTAATCATGACTAACCTCAATGCCAAATATGAAGACTGTGGGTCAAAGGAATCTTAAGTTATTTGGCGGACAAGCTTTTTGAAGTCAAGGCCCCTGTGACCTTGACCTTTGACCTTGTGACCTCAAAATCAATAGGGGTCATCTACTAATCATGACTAACCTCCATGCCAAATATGACGACTGTGGGTCAAAGGAATTTTAAGTTATTGGGCGGACAAGCTTTTTGAAGTCAAGGCCCCTGTGACCTTGACCTTTGACCTAGTGACCTCAAAATCAATAAGGGTCATCTACTAATCATGACTAACCTCCATGCCAAATATGAAGACTAAGGGTCAAAGGAATCTTAAGTTATTGGGCGGACAAGAAAAAACCGACGGACAGCTGGATGGACGGACAAGCTGATTCCAGTATACCCCCCTTACAACTTTGTTGTGCGGGGGTATAATTATGTTTGCATCAACTCATATGGCTAGTGATCATTAGATTACTAGTCTGACGCATTTACTACTACGCTCAGTGCATAAGCACTTAAAATAAATTTCAATGAATGTGCAAATTTTTAAACCCATCTATATAACATAGACAATCAAGGCTTCTTAGTTCTTCACACTTTTATCAAGGTCTCTTTACTACCATGAATATATATCAATGATGAAATACCATAAAATCACGTAACATCCTAAAGACCTTTCTCTATAGTGTTACATCAAACATTTATGTAAAGTTTGTTTTTTTAACCTTTTTGCTAATTTTGAGGCTTGTCCCAACATTTATATATATGGTTATCAATATGTCAAATAAGTCAAACAAGCAGCTCTTATCTAACTCAAATCTTGCATTGATCCAAAACATTCCACTCTCAATACAAAGTACTGATCAGCAATATTTGAACATTTTCATTGTGCAGCACATTAAAAACATTAAATTAAAAGCATTTCCTAAACATAATATATATACAAATGAAAATGACAGAAGTTTTAAATATGGGATCAAAATGACTCGGCAAAAATGACAAATATAAGATGTTGTGTGAATTCTATGTAATGACATTGCAATAAATTCCAGACATAAAAATAGGGTGTTTTAAAATGTCACTCTCATGTTCAGTTTCATTTTTTACATAAAATTATATGCACTTTACTTCTCATAAAATAAAATATTTTTTATAAGTCTATGGTTGAAAAGAGGCAAATATTAATATGCTACTAGGTCAAAGTGTCTAGTATCTAAATGTTGGCATAATTATGTGAAATAAAATAAACTAATTATCAAATTAGGAACTTGCATTATGCACTAAGAAGTTTGCATTATGCACTAAGAAGTTTAAGACCAACACCAGCAAGGAAACGTGACACAGGGAGAACATCATTCTGATCAATTACGGTATATATGTTGTAGGAAAATAACATGGCTGATGCCTGAACAGTTTTGCAATGACTTGCATGTTTTCAAAAAAATTTCAAACAGGATTATTTGCATCAATGTACAATAATTTTATTTTCACATTTTTTTGTTGTTCAGGCCATCCTTAAAAAAATGTTTGTTTGCAGTAACGCGACCGACTCACAAAATTTGCCCCTACTCAAAATTTTTTTTCATGGTCTGGATAAAAAATTATTATTTTTTGAATCAGAAAATTATGCCTTGTGCTTTGTTTTCGTTCTTTTAAAGGTTAATAGAAGAAATAAAATGTAGGTCTTATTAAATTAGAATTCAGTTATCAATTTATCAATTGTTACCAGATTATCAAAGCATATTTTGTCCAGCATTTTGAAATTCCATGTTTATTTGGGAGTACAGTTCAATAAAAAAAAAAAAAAATCGACCTACCTACCCACCTTGAAAATTTTGGGTCGGGTTACTGTAAACAAACATTTTTTTAAGGATGGCCTCATTTACACCATAAAACTGTATCACGCTTGCAATTACTGTCCTTATTTAGTTATACGGCTATTTTAATTGACACATGGAAATATCCCAAAACATTTGACATCAAATAGTTAATTTTAAGTTAAATATGCTACAAATACATTTTGTGAGGGGCATTTTTTAAAGTTGTTCATTGTATTTAATATTCCTGTGCCGGCTTTAACAGCTACCAAGTAATCCTTTATTTTATATCTTACCATACTAGATAGTTTTTGCCACTTTGTACATCATTATGTACCAAACAATTTAAGAAATAAAACTTATAGAATTCATTTAAATAGCATGATCTTAGAATATGATAACAAAAACAATTTTAGTGAAATAAAATTGACAGGAAAATGACATAACTGCGTAGTGAATGCCTTTAATGAATTGTGATAAATCTGTACAGAATTTTACACATTGGTTGGTACAGAATTATACACATTGGTTGGTACAGAATTTTACACATTGGTTGGTACAGAATTATACACATTGGTACATCTAAATTTTACCTCGCTATTGAGCAGGTAATGGTTATTAATAAACCTTCACCTGTTGGAACCAAGTATTTAGCTTTTGCCACAGTAAAGAGCCATTCCAGTCTGCACATATGTGTGGACTAACCCGGCTATATGTCAGTAGTCAGATCAATTTTTGTATTTTGATAAAAAATTCCCTTAAATTTAAATTAGACTGTTCCAAATTTAAAGTTGGGCAAATAATTTACACAACTTCAGCAGGTAAAAGGGTATAAAGCTATATCTGTTGAAATATTTTCATAAAATTTATCAACATTAAAATTACCATATTATGTTGTTGCTATAATCTTGTGATCTTGTGAAAAAGTTATAACATAGAATGTTTCTATAATTTAACACACATGAATATTGTATGTAAACAGAATAAACTGTTCTAGAATATTTCAAGTAGAGGTTTAACTGTTCATCAATAATTATTGTTCAGCATTGGTATCATGAATTTATCATTATGCCATTAACTATGAAGAAAACCTACAAACATATCTCTTTCATACAGGTTTTTTGGAAATAAAAATGTACATAGTATTTGTTTTCTAAATTCAAACAATAATTTGTAAACTACAGGCATCTGATCAGATATATAGCTTTAAATACTTTAAGGTTAAAATTAAAATAACTTTATTATAGTTGATTATTATTATTATTGTTGTTGTTAGAGCAGTTTTTGATAATTTCCCTAGAACATGTACTGAAATTTGACCTATTGCTACGATTTATGTAGGCAGAGTTCTAGATCATCAATAGCCTATATATAGAATACA